AGAGTGGACATTATCATCCACATTGAGAATGGCAAATGGATAATCAACATTAGCCCAGTAAAAATAGACAAGTAAAAACAGTATGTGACGTTACTGCCTAAAAGTAAGACATTGCCAGACTGAAACACCACTGAATATGATAGACTTTATTTGCAAGCATTCTTGTAATGGGGAAGCTGAATTATAAAGTAGTCGGTATAGATACTGTTAGTGCTTTTTACATTTAGTGAACAGAATTATTATATATTCTTTTTCTCACAAATTATTTGTTATTCATATTTATTAAATATAGCCAGAATATCGTCTGATCTTTTTTCAACTTACTGAAATATATTTTCTGCTTTTGTGTCTTTCTTATGAGAAAATTCTGAAAATTGATGTTTCAAAAAGGTACCTACAAATTGGGATGTATTAAATATCTACAGGTGCAAAATGTTTCATAATTTTTTAATGATAAAAAACTATGATCACTATTTTTTCTTACTAGGATAACCATTATAAAAATATTTTTGACCTATGTAAAAAGGTTGCATGTCTTGAAGCTAGAAGTAGGCCAACCGATAGGAGATGACAGGAGCTTCTCTTCTCTCATTTAACCTTTACAATCTGATCTACTATTCCATAGCTGTTTTACCTTAGCTGCCAAGAAAGTCAACACAAAGTGTTTAAATATAGCAATTACCATGTAATATCTATGACTTTACTGCTTTTTTATTAATTCTGATTTTATTTTTAATTGTTCTGTTTATATTTTATATTGTAAGCGCTCTCAAGTTCTTTTTGACTCCAGATTACGTAGAGAATAGGTCACGTATACATGTGGTAAATGACAGTACCTTTTACATTTGTTGCCTGATAGCATTATTTCTTTATGTTTTTTATCTTGCCTTCCCAACCTGCTTCTAAGCTCTAGAAGGCAGGAAATCATCTCTGACTTTCAAAACTAACCTCAGAGGATTGTTTTGAAAGCTAAATAAGTTAGACATATGAAACACTTAGAATTGTATTTGGCATGAAGGAAGTACTAATGTTAGCAGCATTATGTTTTATTATGTAGCACAGCAGACTGCTCAATAGAACATGTACTGACAGGGCTAGGTAGGGAAGGATTTTTCTGTTCCCTAATACCTAAAAGTAATTGAGGATTGGACATTTCTGTTTTCACTCAGAGCCAAAGGAGTTGAAATGTTAACTGCTTTCTAAATATTCTAATGTTTGGGAAAATCCAGATGTGACCTATCCCAATCCAAATATTAGGTAATGCTGGGAGGTAATTCTGGAGGAGAAATCAAATTCAAAGAAATCTTAAGGCTAAGAAGTGGATTACTGAATGGAGAAGGTATGAAAATATTAATTTCTTCCCGAAGGAGACTCAAGAATTAGATGCCCAGAAAAAGAAACTTCCATTTTATATGTAACATATTTCTGAATCTGCTATATACCAGTCCTGAAAATTGTTGTGTGTCTCCTCACATGTTAGCTGTAGGCAACTAGACTGTGGTATAAGAGAAAAATGCTTTCCATTTGTATTCTAGTTTCAAATATATACACTCACCTTCATGATCATTATCTCATTTAATCCTTCTAAATCTACATCAAGGTAGGTTATTGATAAAAAGTGGTCATTGTTATAAATTCTTAACCATAGACATGATATATAATAATTCACTATGCCACTTTTGAAGTCCAGCACCAGTGTTGACCTTTTTCTTTTTCTATAGCCTGTTTTTCATTATGTAATTATTATTCAAATTTATAGTTTTGTCAAGCATTAATACATATTTATTGGCTCCAAATACACCCTATGCTAGATATAAAAGAAATAAAAAGGAAACCCTGCTCAGTGAATGATCCTTGCCCTTGAGGAACCTGAATGCTTTTAGTGGGTAACAAAAGAAATATTCATTAAATACAGGCCCAAAGTTAGTGCATACTCAAGTGTATGATTGAGATTGTGAGTATTATAGATGTTCAGAGAAGGGAAGGATCACTGTATCCTGACATACCTTAAGGGAAATTTGGTGGCGAATGTGAGATTTAAGTTTATGGGATATGGAAACATAGGGGAGGAAATCTGGTAAGGTATTTTAGGCAGGGAAAAGAGTTTGAAAAAAGATGCGGCCTTTGGAGAACAGGGAGAGGACTGATTTCACATTGAGAAGGTGGTAGAAGGTGGTTAGGAGGAGGAAGGAAAGAATAGGACAGGCTACATAAGGTAATCACATATTGAAATGAGGTATTGTATGAGTTTGTATTTTTTTTTTAGCTTAAGGGAAAAAGCTAAAAATATTTTAAAACTCTGTTAGAACTGAGCTACCTTCTAAAAATATGGCACCTAATTTCTCCAAACCATCATTATAATGGAATTTAATTATATATAAAGATATAATTAAAATAAAAGTGTAGTATAAAGCTATATAATAAGGATATAGATGTATTTATAAATAAAGATATCACTGAGTGAGAGAACTCTGGGAATTTCCTGTACAGTGTTATTTGAGAAGGATTTATATAGTTCAAATTATCACCCCTTCTCAGTATATAATACATACCCAATCTAATAAGCATGATTAGGAAGCTTACAAAAAGCAGAGGCATCCATCTTCCAGTTTTTCAAGCTAATTGTCTGTATTAAGCAGGCATATATTTAGTAACTGAAATAAACAGTTATCAGTATTAAGTAGACATCATTTTAACTTTAAGGGAGACAAACCCTAGAGAATTTAAGAAAAAGGCCATTCAGGATACAACTGACTTCTTAGAGAATGAGCAGATTATATTGAGAATGACTAATGGTCATTTTCAGATGAATAAGGATAGTGAATATATGACTAGTAAGATTATGTGCATTGTGTATGCCAGAGGGTGCTTCACTCTCAACCCCCAGTAGGCTGAGGTTTAATTCTAGGTTAGAGATAACTGTTTAAAATATTACTTGGTATTAAAAATAGCTGCAAGTTTAATAGTCTTTTTCTTTAAGGATTCCTAAAAATGTTTCCACTTCAGAATAGTTCCAATAAAGGTCATCTTGAATCAAAAACTTTATGGAAGTGATTATTAAAAATGTTATGTACTCTGTCAATACTACATGGACTCTGATGCCAATCTTAGGATTGTTGACTTTAGCTTTCATATAGCAGAGTCATTATTGATTATGGGACTTGGCGTCATACAACTTCTTTGTAAGTGGAGCTGCTATAGAAGTTTCTGCTGGCATAGCCATAAGTGGACAGCAGCAACTTCAAATTTTTTTAGAATCTTTGTATTTTTACTTCAGAAGTCATGTGAATTTTGTCATTCTTTATAATATATCCACAACTATTTTATTGAAAATAGTATGTTTTAAATTATCATTTGAGTAAAGCTTACCAATCAAAAAGGTATACTGTATTTGTCTTATTTTTTGTGAGTGGGCTTAAGATATCTGAGCTGCTGCATTTTAGTATTACCTTTTTAACTTAGCTTTTTGAGGACAGCAACTTGAATATAGTTGCAAAGTAAATTCACTTGGCTTCCTGCCCCAGAGAAATTTAAAAAGCATAGGTATCCTTGATTAGATTATCTTTATGAAGATTTCTACCTCTATCTTTATATGAAGTAGACATTTGTTTTTTAAATTAATATCTTACAGTTTAATAATAGTTTAAGTTGTCAACAAAATTAACATTCATAATTAAGGTAGCATAAATACACTCTTCTTATTTTTTCTTATTTCTTATATTTTGTGAGAAAACAAAATACTCACAGTTCAGTGATATTATTAGAGATTGTCCTCCTCACAGAATGAGTATAGGTGGATTAAGCAATGATCTTTTCTAGCTGGAGTAAACTAGGCCTTCTCCCTAGAAGGCAATGGTTTTCAGTGAAGGAATACTTTTATATACTGTGAGCTCAATATCAGTATTGAAATACATGGTTGAAAAAATTTAATCTCAATAGTTTAAGAAACTTAAATGAGCTAATTGAAGGTCCTTGTTTATGGATTTGAAAGTTCAGAATTGAAGTTTTGTTATTTTTTGAATGTTAGCAACAGAAGGAATTAATATATTTGTTAGAATCAAATGTGCCCATATTTTTGTACTAAGTAGAAGGTAAAATAACAAACATTTATTGAATGCATGTTGTGTCATAGGCACTGTGTTAGGTAATGAGAGAGAGGGAGAGAACACTTGTTTCCTGTTTGGGGGGCCTTGTAATCTAAGAGTGTACAATGTATAAAATATAACTGCCATAAAGCACAGTACATACTATAATAGAGATAGCATTTAAGATACATTTGGGTAAAGATGGATTAACCAGCCAGCTTAGCTTCAGTGCATAGAGAAAGCTTCTGAGAGTGGAATAGGCTTCTGCTGAAACTTAATAAATGGAGAGTTCCCAGGGTGGGAAAACGGGCATTCCAGGCAGAGGAAACAGTAAAAATCTTCAGTAGATTGCAAGGAGTATGGTTTAACCAGAGTGAAGGTGCATGCTAGATAGTGCTGAAAGATGACTTGGCAGTAGGCACCTCCACTTTATGTACAATCCTGAGGAGTTTGAACTTTGTTCTGTAATAAATTGGATGATCATTGAAAAGTATTGCGTATGATCAGAATGATTCTCATTTTAGCAAGATTTTACCTTTTGAGGTAGTTCAGAGGATAAATCAGGAAGTGCTTCTGGACACAGGCAAGAGGAGCGGTTAGAATGTCATTGCTGTAGTCTAGATGATGGATGAGGAGGGTCATTAAAATGGCAGTGGGAATGACAAGAAAAGGATAGATTCCAGGTAAGTTAAAGAAACAGAATCAATAACGTTTAATAATTGATTGTAGGTAGTGAGAGAAGACAAAGGTAGAAATTCATGTCTGGAATGAATGATGGGATTAGATGGGTCAATTTCTCACTAGATTTTTGAGAAAAGTTTTACTTTATGTATGTGAATAGCTTCTACAAAATAAAACATAAACAGTTACTTCTGAGTAGGTTGTTTCTAAGTTTCTCTTTATTTTTATTTATAGATGCCACTTCAAATGAACAACAAGAGCTTTTCTGTCAGAAGTTGCAGCAGTGTTGCATACTGTTTGATTTCATGGACTCTGTTTCAGACTTGAAGAGCAAAGAAATTAAAAGAGCAACATTGAATGAACTGGTTGAGTATGTTTCAACTAATCGTGGTGTAATTGTTGAATCAGCGTATTCTGATATAGTAAAAATGGTAAGCCTCTAGACTTAAGTTCCTCAGATTTCTATAAATTCAAGTAAGATCTGAGGTGTAATTATGAACTACTGAGACTGATTTTTAATAAATCTACAGTAATTAATGTATTCAGAAGAATTTTTTTTCAAAAAGTCTATTTGAAAGATTATTCGTCTATTCTAATGATGCTGTTATTGCTTTACAGTAGCTTGTGAATTCAGTAGCCACAACGGCTGGTGACTACCATATTGGATAATGAGATCTTGAGCTTAGGAGAAAGATGAAAGTTCAAGATTACACAGATTGATAGATAATTAATGTCATGTAGCTGAATAGTTACAGAGAAAGAACATCTACAAGGGGAATAAAAGACCAGTGAAAAACTATAGAGCACTCTGCATCTCAGCAGTGGATAAGGGAGTCAGGTCTAAAAAAATTCTTATTTATAACATTTTCATATCATATTTGTAGATTCTGTAACACTGAATTTTAATAGAAACTCAGGACCTTTAAGAAATTAAATAATATAAGACAAACATTTGAAATATCTGATGTGAAAAAAAATGACTGCCAACTGCACTGAAGTAAGGTTGTCGAGGTAACTATTTTAATTATTCAGCCATATTCTCCATCAAACAGTAGGAGAGTCAAATTTGTTTAGGATTTGAGATTTTTGTATTTTGGTTTATACTAACAAAACACATACAAAAAGTTCATTTGGAGTAATTAGAGTCACTGATACACAATTTAAGCTTAAATGTTACCAGGATATGGAAGATTATAGTAAGTATAACCTGTATTTAATTAGTTCCTTAATTTCTTTCCCCTGGCCTAATAATATGTTCTGGGGGAAGAGCCAAATGTGTAGGAAAGTTAAATTTGGCCCTGATATACTAGTTGAGTTTTCTTTTATCACATTGTACTAGAAGAGCAATTAAAAGGACTTAGGACATTTTAGTTGTTTTTGTTTGTTTGTTTTTAAAAGGAAAATAAAAGCCTTAAAATTTTTTAAAGGCTAACTCTAGAGAGAACATTAATCAAAATGAAAATGGCTTCCTAAATCTCCTAGATAGTTAAAAGTCAGTGACAGTTTGGTAATTTAAATATTGAATATTGATAGACTTTGTATTTTGTTTTTTTGTTTTTTGTTTATCATTAAAAATATTTAGGAGAAAAACACAGTTTACTGATTTCCACTTTACTGATTTCAATACTGGTTTATATTCAGGAATTTTGAAAATCCTAGGGAAGATATTTTATTTTTATCTCTATATTACCTCAGATATTGAAAGTACTCAAATACTTGAATCAAATTATTCTGTAATTTGGAATGCTGATAAATTCTGGGGCTTAATTTCTTTTCCCAAGTAAAAGGGTGTGTTTTGTCTTTTTTTTTTTTAACTTCTGGGTACTTAATTTCTAGGTAAGAGTGAAACCAGCTCACCCACTTAGTTCTTTAAATCTCTTCTGTGTATTTGTTACATACAGTTAATTTTATTGGTGGCTACAAGGTTAACTTTCTCTTTTACTACCAAAAATAAATATGATTTCAAAGGCAAATTATACCCTCTTATGGGATATATTTCCTTTTCAAGTTCTATCTGTTACTTTCTGCCACTCTTTGTGAAATTGGTGTCTATCAACCTATTTATTGGCTCTGCCCTCATGTACTGGCAAATCAAATTCTGAGTTCTAGCAAATCAAATTCTAGATTATTACTTTCTGAGTCTTATGGTTATAGTAATTGACTGTTAGCAGTTATTTGGCCTGTCATAGATGCCACTTCCTAAGAATGGTTGGAAATTTGCTTGCACCAGCAAATAACACTTGTCTCATCCTCTGCTCCCCAAATAGTTTATCTTAAATGACCAGCCCCTCAGTAGTATGGCCTTAAATGTTTACTAAACCATTTGGTTTGTCAGTCTGTTCATCATTTGTCAAAGAATTGTGAGTTGGGCTCACAGTCTGTCCTTTGTTGGAGAAAAAGGATATGTAGTTTACTTTGGTACTAAGACATATAACACAAAAGATGAAATTATAATATAAGATGAAAAACTTTAAATGAAGAATCTCAAATCACATTCTTATTTCAGGGAGATTAATTTTTTTAAAGGCTCAGAATAAATGAAATACAGTAAATTAAATCATCATGAACTATTATTCTACCTTCATCCCTACTCTTCTTAAGCGTGGTGTGTATGTATAAGAGTAGAGATATTTTACCAAAGTTTTTTGGGATGCCAGGTAAATAAATGGCTGTGTTAGAATATGTGGGGAGTTGTGAAAAGATGAAAGGAATCAAGTAAGGGATAGGGAGAGTTAGGAACTTTATGTTTCCCCTCCCCAAATCTCTCCCCTCCTCTAATTTTTTTCTCAAGCAAAACTTGGAAAGAACAACTTGTGATTTAAGGAAGAGAAATCTAGAGGTAATCTGTATGAAGTTTTGTGTCTATAGAAGTCAGAGTTATGGGACAGAAAAAAGAAACAAATGGCCGCCTTCATATCTTGAAGACGTTTATAGGTTTTGAACTAAGTTTACAGCCACAACTTAACTTTTTAAAGTTATTAGAAAAATATTTCATATTGCATTGTTAAATTCAATTACATAACAAAGAACATAAATCTAAATTTATTTTTCTTTGCAGATCAGTGCTAACATCTTCCGAACTCTTCCTCCAAGTGATAATCCAGATTTTGACCCAGAAGAGGATGAACCCACGCTTGAGGCCTCTTGGCCTCACATACAAGTATGGAACATAATTTTGTCTTTATGAACACAATTTTTACATTTATGATATTTTGCTGAAATAGTACTCTTTTAGATCTGAGTGTCTGTTTAAAATACTTGACTTTTAATATATTTTCTTAACATTTTCTTTTCCCAAAATATTCTTTTTCACTTTATTGTGATAAAGTACACTTAACATTTACCATTTAAACCGTTTCAGAGTGTACTCAGTGGCATTAAGTGCATTTGTAATGCTGTGCAACCATCACCAGTATCTAGTTCCACAACCTTTTCATCACCTCAAATGGAAACTCCCTCATCATTAATAGTCATTTCCCATTCTTCCACCTCCACAACCCCTGACAACTATTAATCTTCTTTCTTTCTCTATGGATTTGCTTGTCCTGGATATGTAATATAAGTGGAATCATACAATATGTGGCCTTTTATGTTTGGGTTCTTTCACTTAACATAATATTTTCAGGGTTCATCAATATTATAACATTTATCAATATGCCATTCTTTTTAATGGCTGAATAATACTCCATTTTTTGGACATAGTACATTTGTTTATCTGTTAATCACTAGGTGGACATTTGGATGGTGTCTACCTTTTGGCTGTTGTGACTAGAGCTGTTATAAACAGTACTTTATAAGTTTTTATAAAAACATCTGTTTCCCGTAAATTTTGATATGTTGTGTTTTTGTTTTAATTCATCTCAAAATACTTTCTAATTTCCCTTGTAATTTCTTTTTTGGCCCATTTGTTATTTAGGAATGTGTTTAATTTTCTATGTATTTGTGAATCCTAGATTTCTTTCTGTTATTGAGTTACAGTTTTATTCCATTGTAGTTGGAGAGTATACTTTTAACTTTAATGAGGCTGTTTGTATGGCCTACCATATAGTTAATCACAGAGAATGTTTCATGTGTGCTTGAGAAGAACGTGTATACTGTTGTTGTTGAGTGGAGTATCCCATTGAAATCTGTTAGGTCTAGTTGGTTTATAATGTTGTTCAAGTCTTTTATTTCCTTGTTGATCTTCTGTCTAGTTCTCTCCATTATTGAAAGTGAGATATTGAAGCCTCCGACTATTATTATTGAATTGTCTGTTTCTTTCTTCAGTTTTGTCAGCTTTTGCTTTCTGTATTTTGGGGCCCTGTTGTTAGCTACATATGTTTATGGTTGTTTTATCTTCCTCTGGGATATCTCCCTTATCATTAAAATTCTAACAGTTTCTGTGTGAAAGTTCATTTTGTCTTATATTTTATAGCCTCTGTCTAGCTCTCTTTTGGTTACTGTTTGCATCATACATCTTTTCCATACATTTACTTCTAATCTGTTTCTTTGTATCTAAATTGTCTCTCATCAACAGCATGTAGTTGGATCCTGGGTTTTTTTAAAATCAGTTTTGATAATCTCTGCCTTTTGACTAGAGTGTTTAATCCATTTACACTTAATACAATTACTGATGAGGTAGAAGTTACATCTGCCATTTTGCTATTTTATGTCATATCTTTTTTGTTCCTCTACTCCTCTATTACTGCCTTTTGTATTAAATAGATATTTTCTAGAATACCATTTTAATTCCTCTTTTTCTTTAACTATATGTTTTGGAGTTGCTTTCTTAGTAGTTACCCTAGGGTTTACAATTAACATGTTACAGCAGTCTAGTTTGAGAAACAGACTCGCAGACATAGTAAACAATCTTATGGTTACCAAGGCGAAGGGGGTAGGAAGGAATAAATTTGGGAGTTTGAGATTTGCAAATGTTAAACACTATATATAAAAATAGATAAACAGATTTTTTCTGTATACACAGGGAGCTATATTCAGCATCACAAATTCTCATGCAGTTTAATTCATACCTTTTTAGCTTCGTTAAACACCAATAAATAATATCTCCCAAATAATTCAACTAGCTGTCGCTTTTTCTTTATTAGCCCTCATGAATGAGTTTTTAAAGGTATAATTATACAGCTACAGATATGCCTTAGTTAAATGGAACAAAAGTTTATATAAAAATATTCTAACAAGAGAATTATTATCATTACAAAGTATGGTGAAATGGAAACGATTCTGGTCACAGGCCTCAAATCCCAGTTTTGATACTTTTTCACTGATGGAATCTTAGTTAAGCTACTTAATTTCTCTGCATCCTCTTTTATGAAACTGGGATGAGAGGGTTGTGTAAGAATTGAATGGGATAATGTATGCACAGAACCTCACACAACTTTTTAAACTATCCTGTTTGCTTTCCTCCTTTTTTTCTTAAAAGATACTACTTTTGATATTTCAGAAGAAGTGCTTATTTTTCTTATGGTTACCTTTATGATAATACCCTCTTTCGTAGCTAGTTTATTGATTCTCTAGAATGAACAATATTGAAATGAATAAGTAGTCTTTTCTTCCCCCACTTTTCTTCCCTAGCATCTAATGTAAAGTAATATCCATTTACTCTCACAATAAATACCTATATGGCAATTTGAGGCTTCTTCTACCTCCCTTACACTTTTCTCCTCCTCCTGCAGCTCCATGTTTTTGATAGCTATATAATATTTATGTAGTTAGAATATGTAACTGACTTCATACTATTCTGTCACCTTTATGCCCATCATTTGTCATTAGTTCTGCAGGTAATACATTTTATATTTACCATCAATCCTTATGTCAAAGTTTCTCTGATCATTTCTTGGCTAATTTGAAGCTCTCACTTTAGTAGAAGGGTTTATGGGAACATTATTTCCTGAGTTCTTGTGTGTTTCATAGCAGTTTGTCTCTAGCCTTTATGTTTAAAGATCCACTTGATTTGATTATATAAAATCCTTGACTTCTTTCCTTAATTTTCTGAAGTGCCTTAAATATGTTATTCCATCATCTTCTAATTTCAGTCTGATTTTTTTTCCCCTTTGGTTTTTTGTCTTTCTGCCTGGATGCCAAAGGATGTTTTCCCTCTAGCGGCCAATTGCTTTTACTGTTCTATACATAAGTGTTGATTTCTCTGGGTCAGTTTTCCCAGTTGAATAGTGTTCTTTCACTATAAAAGCCCAGTTTTATTTCTGAAAAGTTTTCTTCAGTAATATTTTTTAGTATTTCTTTTGTTCCACCACTTTGTTTTTCTTCTTTGGGAATACCTGCTGTTCATGTGTTGGCTCTCCTTTGCTTCTGTCTATATAGTCATACTTCTGATTTCTTTATTTTTCTTATCTCTTTCTTCATTCTATTTTGAATTATTTTTAATTTTTCTTTTTTACATTCTCTTTTTTCATTTTTCCATTACTCTAGTTGAAAGGCAGACTGACAGAATGTTTAGTTTCCCAGCTTCAGACACGCAAAACGAAGGGAATGGGTGTTAGGTTAGCCAACCAATGCCTGCCACAAGCTTGAACCATGGGAAGCAAGAGTGTCCTGAATAAAATAAAAAATGATAGATTTTGTAATGACAGTAGACTGGATAACATCAGCTATTTTCTACATAGTTCCTGGGAGGTAAAGATGAACCCTGCTTTATGTATGGGTGCTCAGCATTACTTCAGATTATATTGTTGATTTTTTATTTTGCCTAAACTTATATTTTTTGGTGGCTATTTTATCTTTATTATAAAAGACAAGAGAAAGAAATTTATATTCTAAACTATTTGAGACACTTTTGTCTCATTATTCACTCTGTCTAGCACCTATACATTCAAATAAAATGGAAGAGGAATCCTAGGATTAGTGTAAAATTTTCACAGTAAAAATTTAAAAATTTATCAGCACATTAGTGCTTATAGAATTAGAAAATCTGAAGTTGTAAATTATTTTTTAATAGCACTGTACACAGTTCATCTGAAATTTCATGTCATAGTTGGTATAAAATTAGTGATACTATGTTTGATAATCAAAAGGTTTTGAAAACATGAAATTCTCATTAGCTGGTAAGTTATATATTTTTTAATCACATGTAGTTGGATAACCTGAAAAAAATCTGCTCAGTCTTTGAATTTTTAAAAAATTGTTTTGCCATTAAGATATTTTTATATGCCTATGGAAATTAACAGTGAAAATTCAGTCTATAAACAATATTCTTTATATTTTTCACTGGTGTGATTTGAAGTTTTACTTATATTCACTGAAACCAGTGTCTCTTAATATTTTAGATGTTGAGTTGCTTTCAAAATACAATTTTTTTAAGTGGGTTTTCTCTCAAGACAAATTCACAGAGACATACAAGAAATATTTATACATCCGTGGTCCCCTGATTAAAAGGCTGTGCTCTGGATATATACATTTATAGTTAAAAATCTTTCTAGAAACTAAAATGTGTTAAATTTGGCAGTCAAGTGGTCTACTAAATACTGAACTAATTGATAAGATTCATCGGTATATTTTAGCTACATCATTATTTAGTCATACTTTTTTTTGGAGTGGAATGTTAAAGCTATTCTGATGAATGAAATTAGAGAGTGAAGCACTGAGAAAATGTGCTCCATGAATATTTCTTTACTTGCTAACATATTTTGAATCAATTAACCTGGAATTTTTTTGTTTTGTACCCAAAGTTTATATTTTACATTTAGCTTATCAGATCTTTGATACTAGAAATTAATTTGATAGGATGAAAAATAAACATTAAATTTAGTTAATGAAAGGGGAATAATTACAAGTAATTTCAAAACCTTTCATATTTTTATTTCTTCAAAAAGAAAGACCATTTCATGGGAGAAGGATATAGTTCAGTGGTAAGTGCATGTTGAGCACGCATGAAGTCCTGGGTTCAAGCCCCAGTACCTCCATTAAAAATAAAACTAAAAAAAATAAATCAGTAAACCTAATTACCTCCTCCTTCCCCACCAAAAAGAATTTTAAAAAATTTTTTTAAGAAGGCCATTTCAGTACTAAGGAATTGGTCATATCTTTTAATTTACTAAGTATTATATGATGATAATTAGTGTACAACAGTTATAAGTTATTTTTAAATTTTCTTTGCTAAGTATTATTGCTTATATTTATTAAAGACCAACAAAATAGTAATTATCTGTATACCTACTTTCAGATAATTAGAGATATGGCTGGTTTACTAGCCTTAAATACAGCCAGATTATGTAGTATTTTTATTTTCTTTTATCAGTTAGTTTCTTTAAAGGAACTAAAGATGTAATTATGTAGGAGACTGAATAGAACATAGACCTTTTTAGGAATAACCTGATCTTAGGGACTAGAGGCTCTTCTTTATGATCTGTATAATTAAAAATTTAGACTGGTGATGTACATGTTTTATAATATACACCTTCACATTCAAATAGCTCTTGGCCAGATGCTACATTTTAAATATTTGCATGTTCTACGAATCAAAAATTATAGGGTTCAAAGAGTTTAAAGATCTATGCTAGTTTGTGTTGTACTTTCTTCTAAAATCTTTTATGGGTGAAGACCAGAATATTATGTTTTTTATTTTAACTACCTTAGGAAAGACACTGTCAGTACTGAGTAGAATGGTAAGATTACCTTCCATTCCTTACACTTTTTAGTTATCTTTCATCTTTTAGGGTATTTTTTTTTTCTTGGTTTAAAAAAGTACAAGGACCAGCCATACATTGAACATATGTGAAGTGTGCCATTTTACTAGAGAAGGAAACCCATTGCTGAAAATATCTATCGTTTCTTGCAGCACTGTTTCTTTCTTAGGTTATTGGAGCAAATTATTTCTTCACATGGAAGAACATAGAGAACTTTAATACTTAAATACAGTCTCTCAATAACTATGATTTTCATTCAGCAAATATTTATTGAGCATCTGTTATGTTCCAGGCATTCTAAATATTGGGGGTAAAGTATTGAACTAATAAGCAAACTCTCTTACATTCTAGGGGAAAAGAATAAAATAATACTATATCAGAGTGTCCTAAATACAAGCAAAAAGCAATACAGGATAAAAACAAGAGAGTGACAGTGACTACTGCTGTTTCTACCTCTGTTTGACATTACTCAACATGTATTTAGATAACCTTTTGTCACCATCTCTTCAGTGGCGCTAAGCTGGTTGCATTGAAAGCAATTTGCGGCTAATCTTGACTGGTCACATAATTAATGTTCACTGTGTCAGGTAAATGATGCAGATGAAAACCGTAAGAAATAATATGTCATATCTGTGATAAGCACAAGTTTCAACTGTATATGTGATTTAGAGGATTCATTTTGATTTGGAGCTTGATATATAAGTCCACCAAAAGACATGCTATCACTGTTAAAACAAATAAGCCTTTAGGCCAGTATCTCTGATGCAGATCTTCAGTAGTAGAATATATAGACATGAATATAATATATATATAGACATGAATATAATAATTCATGCCATATTTGACTCAGGTTTAACTTGGCCCCACCTTATCACAGCTTTAAACTTGGGATCCACGTAAAGATTCCAAGTCTCTGATTTCATTCCCACTAACCTATACCCTACACCATCTTCTTGAGATAAGTTCTACCTTTCTTAATAAAAACCCTCCTCTTCTTGACTTGTCCAAAATCAAATCGAATGCTGGGCTCAAGTTATATGTCCTCCTTCAAACTTTTCCTATTGATCTTTCACAGTGATATAGCCCTTTTCTAAATGTCTCCTGCACTCAGTTTGTGCCATGTGACTTTTCTGTCTATACCATTTTTAATGTTTATATTTTTGTCTTACCCCCCTAACAAGTGAATGAGCTTTTTGGAGCTTTACAATGGCTATCTGTTCACAATATTGATTGCTAAAGAAAAACTTGTTTCTTTTACGCTTAACATTTCTGACACCAAATATATAGATTTTCCACACCAATAAACTCTCCAGTTCTCTGTGAACACCAGCTGGGTGTCCTACAATGTATTCATTTCGGACACTAACTACCTGACTTAGCAAGGACCCCATGGCTTAAGGGCTCAGTCCAACAAGACTGCTCCTCATTTCTATGGCACTCATGAGTCTGGGCCTCCCATACTTCTGACTAATTGGCTGTAAATCTAAGGTTATTGTGACTCACTCTTCAGGTTCAATAATTTACTATAACAGCTCACAGAACTTAGGGAAACATCTTATTTACTGTTACCAGTTTATTATAAAGGATACAACTCAGGAACAGCCAAATAGAAGAGATGCATAGGGTAAGGTATGGAGAAGGGGCCCATATTTTCCGTGTGCCACCCTCCCAGTACCTTGATGTGTTCACCAACCCGGAAGTTCTCTAAACCCCCTTGTTTAGGCTTTTTTTGTTTTTTTTTTTTTTTGGTGGTCCATTCGGTGGGCATGATTAATTAAATCATTGGCCACTGGTAATTAAGCTCGATTTTCAGCCTCTCTCCTCCTCCTGGTGGATGGAGGGTTGGGGCTAAAAGTTCCAACTCTCTAATCATAGTTGGTTCCTCTGATAATCAGACTTCATCCTCCAGAGTCACCTCATTAGCATAAACTCAGATATGGTTAGAAGGGGCTTGTTATGAATAACAAAAGATGCTCCTCTCACTTTATCACTCAAGGAATTCCAAAGGTTTAGGAGCTCTGTGCCAATAACCAGGGGTGAAGACCAAATATATATTTCTAATTTTATCACAGTAGCCCAGTATCAGAGATGAAAATAGGCACTGAGCAAGTCGTGCCAGTGAAACTGCGTAACAGTCCATGAGAATGTACTAACTCTTCACGGGACTCTTGTGATAATTTTGTATATCTTTTTGCATGTATTGCCCCAAAGCAAAATTATCTATGTGATTAGAAAATTATTGGATTAGAAATAAAAAATTGATATCAACGTCTATTTTTTGTTGTTATGTTGTTAACTCTTGCTTAACATTAAATGTTAAGTTAGATAATAAACCAGATATACATTACTTTTTGCATAGTTGGGCAAAGATGTATCAAATGAAACAATATTTACTCGGTTCTCAAAACTGTTGTTAACTTTAGCATATTATTGAATTCATAATAGTAAAAATTTGCCATTCTGTACTGAATGATAGATTCCAGATCTGGTAATGCTTTTTGTATGTTGTGAAGTCTGTAAATTTAGTGTAGCCATTTTCCCCCAACCCCTGTATTATGGCCTAACTGGCTACCTAAATATTTTTTGAATGACTATTTTTACTTTGGGATCCAATCTTTATTATTTTTAGGGCACCAGCTTGACATGTTATTTAGTAGCTGATAAATTAAGGCACATTTTGGGTTATACTCCTGCCTTTTGTAGTTGTTAGTTTACCATAAAAAAACACCAAACTTTTGTGTTTTTGCCTTTCTTCTGGGAAGACAGATGTAGGTATGATGTACATAAGTTGAACTAAATGTTACTTTTAATTCTGATTTGTGGTTGCAAGTGGACGTTTGCTATTACAATAGTCCCCCCCCCCACCCCCCCGTTCACGGTTTCGCTTTCCCCAGTTTGTTATCCAGGGTCAACCATAGTTCAAAAATACTAAGTGGAAAATTACGGAAATAAACAATTCGTTAGCTTTAAATTGCTTGCCATTCTGAGTAGCATGTTGAAATCTCTCACTGTCCTGCCCAAGATGTGAATTATCCCTTTGTTCAGCATAACCCACCCATTAGTCACTTAGTAGCTGTCTCTGTTATGTCAAATCGACTGTCATGTCACAGTGCTTGCATTCAAGTAACCCTTATTTTACTGAATAACAGCCCCAAAGTGCAAAAGTAGTGATGCTGGCAATTTAGATACACCACAGAAAAACTGTAAAACGCTTCCTTTAAGTGAAAAGGTGAAAATTCTCAACAAGGAAAGAAAAAAATCATATGTTGAGATTCTAAGATCTATGGTAAGAATGAATCTTCTATCAGTGAAATCGTGAAGAAGGAGAAAAAAACATGCTAGTTATGCTGCCACCCTTCAGACTGCAAAAGTTATGCCACGGTGCGTGATAAGTGCTTATTAGCTAAGATGGAAAAGGCATTAAATTTGTGGATTTAAGACATGAACAGAAAACAGGGTCCGGTGCCATCTGAGGTTTCAGGCATCCAGTGCGGGTCTTAGAACTTATCCCCCATGGCTAAGGGGGGACTATTGTATTTTTAAGATGCTTGGCACTTTTTAGGAGAAGGCTTGTTATCACTTCTAATTTATTCACTGTGGTGCATAGACATACCTTCCTGAGCCCTTTACTTGTATGATTTGGTTTCTAATTTCCCAAGTGTGGGTAAGGTATTCTGATTTTCATTTAATTCTTTCCCACTGTAGTTTTATAGAAATTCTTGAATTTTTTCTCTTTTTTAATTGGCTTTTATACACTACCCCTTAACAACGCAATTTGGTTTTATCTGGAGGTTTCTGATCCTGCATTTAAGGAACTCTGGAGATTAAGTTGAGGTAGGTCAGTAGTCCACTGGAGAAAGAACATGTTCTCAGGGACTATAGAGTGCAAAATAGTCTTCTAAATTAAATATTTTATAAGTATTGTCCTTTGTTTTCTGGCTCCTGTAAATTAACATTTTCAATGAGTGATTCAGAGCGATAAATAAATCCCAAAATTTACCATCTTAGGATACCAAATTGTGAATATGTATTTAGTTTTCAAAAAACTGTTACTTACTACATTTTATGATGGGATCTGAAATCTCCTTACTAAGTTGGTAAGGGAGGTATGTTTTTGGTATGAAGTGATGACTTAGGGTGAAATTATATAGGCATCATCTTAGCTTTTATTTTGCTTTCTTTTATAGTTGGTGTATGAATTCTTCTTAAGATTTTTAGAGAGTCCTGACTTCCAGCCAAGCATTGCAAAAAGATACATTGATCAGAAATTTGTACAACAGGTAAGAAATCCTTATGTCTTAAATTTTCTTATATTCATCTTAGCAATGATTTATTAGCTTGTGATTAAAATAGGGTAGTCTTTCAAAACTTTAATGATTTCAGTTTAACAGCATTCAGTATTCTTGCCAGACAATGACAATAAAAATGAAGTAGCTTTGAGAATATGAGTATTTTTTAATCAATGGTGAGCTTGTGTTAAAGTCAATCAAATTATTCTATCCAATCCTAAATTCTCATAGTTATTTTATAAAGACTGGAAAGGCAAGCCTTTCTGAAATACCTAACGGAGAAAATTGGATTTAACCATGCAATCTAAGAGCAAACCTTTTCCAAAATGTTTAAGTCTTTGAACTTGACATATGGTAAAAGCATTATGACTTTGAAATGACAGAGAGGGGAAAAACAGAAATGGAATCATTGTGAGAAGTTTGAGCTTTATGCCCCTTTCCTGTCATCAGGTATCACTTACCTTCCTCATCCCCTCCCTCCACCGCTTACACCTCAGGCATTCTAGCCACCTAATTCCTAAACCACAGATAAAATGGGATCTTTACGAAGAAAAGGAGCTAGGATTAAACATATGTAATACCTTCTTCTTATAAATTGGTTATTAGCTATTTTTTGAACCAAGTCTCAAAATTAATTTCTCAGAATATGTTTTTTTTTTAATTTTCAAAATCTTTCAACAGTTAAAAAATCTCTTTTTAACTATGTGGAATTTGCTAGTCCTCGACAGAATTGCGAAGTAGATCAAACCTTTCTGGATCCATTTTCTCTTCTGAAATACTTAGGTCTCATTAGGAATTTGATACTCTCCTCTGCTAGAGATACTAGCACTTTAAAGAAAGGTAGAAGATGAATGGAAGGGTAGTAAGTGTTGAGACCAAGATTAAAGATCATTACAAGGAACTTTGCTACCCTCTTCCCACCATTGTGTGTCCCCTATGATAAAGATTATACAAACATAGAAAAATTATGAGTTCCACATGTTTGGAGTTCATTTTTAGTCATTTGTTTTAAGTACCCTTGATTTCATACGAAGTATTCTGACTAGTTGCTGTGAAGTATTGATAAATGAAGACCATTGTTAAGAATATGTCCTTCAACCATTCAAGTAGTTCCTCATAAACTATGAAGTATTAGGTGTGTGTTAAAAATAAAATGTTAATTTCATTTCAGTCACAAGTAAAAGTAAGTCAGATTAAATGCAGGTATGTTATTTTGGTAACTGCAAATGAATGCTTATTTATTTCCTTCTGTTGCTCTTGTGTGCCACAAAAGGAACACAGTACATTAAGGAACTCCAGTAATGCCATATTAAATTGTATTTAAGATAATAGCAGGTTGAATGGAACAGTTGCCTTAGTGCTTCCTCACTGTGGACCTTGAAGTATTTTGGCTGCTGGATTGTTCAGTGGGTTTGAGGGAAAGCAAGAAGAAAACCGGTAGGGTGGGACCCATTTTCTACCTTCTATTCTAAATGTCTGAATTATCTGAGAAGCCAAGACCCAGTAGTTTGTTTCTAGCAGTTTATATCACTGTGCTTTCACAGATGACTTCTCTAAGGTATTCTTAGTGTGTTGCTTCAATAAATAGTACTATGGGAATTCTCAGCTTTTGTATTTTGAAATTATTTGATTAGGTGGTAAGTTTTAAGACTTAGAAGCACAGGAGAAAAATCTAAAGTATAAATTAGAGCATTCATTATTTCGAGAGAAGAAAACAAAGGTGTAATTCAAGGTTGTGTTCAAGTCACAGGATTTCAGAAGAAGAAAGCTATTATTGAGTGCTTTTTATGTGCCAGGCACCATTCTATTTTTATGCTTTTATATAAAGAGCTCAACCATGTCCACATTCACACAGCTAGAAGATGGCACAATCAGGATTTGATTTTATATAAGTAACTATTTGACTATATAAATAATTATATAAAATAGATTGTCCTATTTAGATTATAATTCAAAATAGATTTATTTTAGTAGATTTGACAATTAGCTAATAACTATCTAATATTTTACCCCTGAGGATCAACTTGTATTAAATTATATGTGTTCATGAATTAGATACAACGACCTTAACAATTAAAGGTCTCTTTTATTAATTTGAAAGCATTTCTTCCAAGTAAACTCAACATTGGAAACTTGGATTAGAGTAAATGAGTAGTTTAGCTATTTTAATTAGAATAATTTGAAGTGAACTAATTAGGTATAGTAACATAAATCTCATAGTCTGGATATTTTTTGCTGGAGCCTCATGCAGTACTTTAATAACCTAGCAAGAAGACACTTTAGGGTTATATAAATGTAACTAAAATCCCCACTACTCTCAAAAAATACCCACTCTAGTGGAAGAGATACACATGTAAACAATTCATATAATTGAAAACAGAATGGAAAAAGAACTTAAGGTTCAGAGCTTGCCATCATGACAGTGATTATAAATCCCAAAGTACAGAACAGAAAATTCCTTGATGACTTCCTAGGTGGTTATATTCTGTAGAGAGAGATTATTTTATATTTTTTCCTAAGAAAATCCAGTGTTTCATTTAAAATATAGTAATACTTTTTTTTTGACAGCAGAAATTCTTTACCATTTTAAAATGGAAGTTTGAGCTTTTGACTTTAAATTTTTCAAAGATCTCTTTATTCTGCCTTTGCTGAAGAATTGTGTAGAGGTGTAGGAAAATGCTGATTTGGCCAGTTTGAACTGGTTTAAAATTTTTCAACCATTTCCTAAGCTGACTTTAAATAAAGATCTGTAGTCTCATCTTTTATTTCAATGTTATTTCATGAATGATTTTTACTCTGTTATCATGTATATACCAATATTTTGTCTACTAATTATTAATTTTTGAGTTGTTGGCTTGCTGACTTGAATTTTTTTTAGTGTAATATCACAAAAAAAGAAGACTTGGTTTGTATAAATTTTTCTGAAGGGGGAGGGTAGGGCTAAGTGGTAGAGCACACACTTAGCATGCACAAGGTCCTGGGTTCAAGCTCCAGTACCTCAATTTAAAAAAAGGATGTATAAACTTTTCTAGTAAACTAGAAATACGCATTTGTGCATGTATTTTTTTAAACTTCATATAACAATTTGCAGTCTACAAGCTTAAGTTTTGTATGTAGTTTTGACTTACTATCAAAAAGCATCAAAAATCTCATATTTCAACACTTTAAAATTATGAGCCATGTTTAGTAGTCAAGAGTAGGACAGAATTTTAAAATGAGTGGTAAGACAAAAAAAAAACCCACTTTTGGAAGTGTTTACATTATTTATATTGTGTCATTTTTCAAAATGAAATAAAAGAAATACTCCCTAAGCTTTTCTTTAGCTTCATTATTTAGCAAGAATAAAACCAATCTGATAAGAAAGAATCTTTCAAAAATGTTTAAAGATTTTGTGGGTTATCTTAAAACCAAAATTAGAATAGAGTGAAGTTTTAGCTCGATTATTTTTAAAAAGTAATTTCTCAGATTTTTTTTAAAGCTCCTGGAGCTTTTTGATAGTGAAGATCCCAGAGAACGTGACTTCCTGAAGACTGTTCTGCATCGAATTTATGGGAAATTTCTTGGATTAAGAGCATTCATCAGAAAACAAATTAACAACATTTTCCTCAGGTAAATTAGTTGTATATTCATATATAGCACTTCTTTTCCCCTCCGTATTTTCTTTTTATTCCAGTTCCTTTAGGTTAATTTTTCTGAAACCTGAAAACTTAACTGATAGTATTTGAATCATTTTTAGCCTGTTCTGTGGGTATCATTTGATTGCATCTAACTTTTTAGAAACTAGTAAACCTCTTCATCTAAGTGGATAAAAGTAATGAAGACAGTTTTTAATACATAATACCAATGTTATTCATGTTTAAAATTTATTGAGGGGAGAATTTATCTAGTTATCTACTTGAGCATTTGTTTAAAAAGTTATGTATAAATACTATTTAAATCAGTAGTTCTTGGAAGCACTTTCATTTGATTTTCTGACAAAGTGAATTAAATTTACATGAGGCCTATCTTTTGACTACTTTATAGATGATAATCTATTAAGTAGTTGCTTCAGATTAGGGAATTTCACTTTAATCATTTCAGGTTTGGTTTGCTTGTTTTAATTGAAGATCTGGCAAAATTAGGCTAGTGTTTTCACATTGTAACAGTCAGAGATGAGTAAGTAACAGCTGCTTCCTCTAGAGAGAGCATCTTTCTCCAGTTCTGTCATTCTCTCCTGAGTCCTCTTCCATCATTTGTGGTATCGTCCCTGCCTGTCCTGTAGTCATTTGAGTTTATGACTCTCTGCTTTGAAGGCAAACCCTAATCCCAGAAAGCCAAGCAGCCTGTGTAGTTTAGGCTTAGAGAAATTCTGAATAAAGTGGCTTTATTACATATGGGTCCTTTTCTCTCGGAGTTTTCTATGAGTAGAGGTTTCCTATTTTGAAAAGAATTTTTGAGAAAACACATCTCATAAATTTTAAAGTAAAACAAAATATTTCAGGTGAAATTATATTGTTATCTTAATATTGAGCAAAAGTATATATAGTTTAATAGGAAATAGACTTTTTTTTAAATAAAACTGCTAAGAAGTAACTGATTTGGGGCAAAATAGCTTACAAAGACTTTCCTAAAATGTGTTTGTACATTTCTTATACTTTGATTTCTTTATACCTTCCTGCCTCTTTCTCAGTTTAGTTTTCTCGTGTTTGATTTTTCATTACATCTATCTTTATTTTAAATTCAGGTTTATATATGAAACAGAACATTTCAATGGTGTTGCTGAACTCCTTGAAATATTAGGAAGGTAGGTCAGTTTTTTGTTCTTTTAGAAAAGTATCTGCATTTTTACGTCTTAAAATATTAGCTGGGATTAGAGAAATTATTTCATATTTTTGAGTTTAAAATAGAATATAAGACATAGTTTCTCAAAGGAATTCTTACTACAGCTTTTTAGGGGGTCAGCTTATATTAAATACTGCCATGCAAGACATCTGTTTCAGAGTAGGCTTCCTGCTTTTGAATCTGTGGCATGTTTTATGCCTGATCTTGCCAGATTGCCTCAGAAATTTATAGGATCTGATTGGAAAGAGATGAAATAAGCCATAGTGAATCTTTGATGAAATTACAAGAATTCTTGTTCAGATGTTGATAGATCATTTTAATCCATCTGTTCTTTTATTTTACTTTATATGAACATTTTGCCTTCCTTATTCACCACATAGCAGTATTAACTTGAGAGTTTAGACCCTCTGTTGATTTAGAGAATGGTTTTAGTTTCCTTTGTTAATTATTTAGAGAATGATTATGGCGAGAACTACTTAATATCAGATCTTTCAATAAAGTAAGAGAAACTACCCATTTACTACAGAAAATACTGAAAATTATAACATTGTGATACTGACTCTCCCGTGCTTTAGAGAAGAAAAAGGCAACAATGCATAAATAAATGAATGATAGGCTATACAGAAAACATAAAATTGGTTACTGGGACATTATTAACTTGGTAGTCCTAGTTCTCTTTTGGGAATCATTGAACGACTTAGAGGAACAGTCTTCATAGTGATAGTTTGTCTAAAGTAAGTTTGCAGATGAGTAAATCACTCAACACCAGGACTGAAGTAATGCAGTTGCTTATGTACTCGTGGATATAATAACTTTTAGAAGTAGTAACTACTTAACTCTTCCCCTGCCTTTTTTTCCCTCCAGTATTATCAATGGCTTTGCATTGCCACTGAAAGCAGAACATAAACAGTTTCTAATGAAGGTTCTTATTCCTATGCATACTGCGAAAGGATTGGCTTTGTTTCATGCTCAGGTAAGTTTCAGAAACATTTCAAGTGAAATGAATGTTGTTTCAAAGACTTATATAAAGGCAGAGAAATTGAGAAATATTGAGGTGGCAATTTTAAGTATAATTAAGCAGTTTGCTTTGTAAGTTGCCCAAAGCAAATTTTTATTATCATTTAAAACATTATGATATTTAGTATTCTTAAATAAGCTCAATGCACTTTAAGTACAGATAATAATAAGATAATATTAAGTTCTCTTCTAGTCCAGGCCCTGACCTAATTAGCTATGTGAATTTAAATAAATCCCACATATTTACAGAATGTTCCATCTAGCCACATAACCTAGTTAGAGAATGGTTTTAGTTTCCTCTATTAATACTCAGAGAATAGTATCATATCAGTATAGACATACATGTTAGAAACATGCTGAAAAATGAAAGTTAGCTCTAGTCTTATTTCAGTTAACTCTATCTATTTATGTATGTATTTAGTGGGCTATAGTTACATTTCTGATTTGTAGAGATTTGCAGGACAAAGACAGTTGCTTTTAATTCCCCAAAGAAATGGTTTGCCACCTAAATTATATAAAAAGACTGATATGCCCAGCTACGTTTTAATATTTCAGTTAACTTTATATTCAGAAGATATTACTGAAAAACGAACATCTTTGTTGAAGCAGACATAACACAATTATGAGTATATTCATTTTTATATATTGATAAACTAAAGTTTGTCAAAATGAGGTAGTTTTGTTAGCTAAATATAAAAATCCTGTATTACTAAATGTTATTTCCCTCCATAATATTTATAAACTGTTCCTTACATTTCAGCTAGCCTACTGTGTTGTACAGTTCCTGGAGAAAGATACAACACTAACAGAACCAGTAAGTGTTCTACTTATGTTTTTGGTCTACACTGTAGCATTTCATTGTAGCTTTCTTTATACCCTTATAGAGTTATCAAACATAGTAGTAATACACTCTAAATTAAAATCATTTAGAAGAAGGAAAGTGAGGTTAATCTAGCCACAGAACTGGGTTGCAGGGGAGTTCTCATGAGTTATGTGTCTTGAATAATTTAAATATAGATTAATAACATATAATAGTTAAGATGTGTGATGACAGGGTCAAATGACTACAGTGAAATTTATTACTTACATAGTATCTTCACTGATAGTCTTTTTAATCTTCATTCACCTTTTAAAATTAAAACATACTGTAAGAGTTCCAAGACTATTCCCTTGAGTTTTGTTTTAGAAATAGGATTTTACCTCTTATTAATGATAAACCACATGATAGGGATTGAAAACATTTCCTTCCTTCAGTGATTAAGATAAAATCTTAGAATAAGGTTATTTACTTAGTTAATCAGCATAGCAATTCAGTCTTTGAATTCTACTGCTTACTATTTGTCTATAATCAAATTTAGGAGAAAATTAAAATGTTATCATGGAAATTGAAGATTTAAGAAAAACAAAAGATAAAGTTAGGGAAACACAGAAAAGGATGAAAGCATAGAAAAAAACATTTTAACCTTGGTGAAACAACTATTTTGAGAGAGTGTTTTCTAGGTATCCTAAATCTACATATTTTAAGAGTTCTTGAAGGATAGCAGAAGGTTTAAAGGATTTAAATTATAAGATTTTCTTTATATTAGAACCTTCTGAGGCTAGGAGGTACTTCTAAAAAGTATGTACTTAGTATTCTCCCTTTGATTGAGCTTTGTGTGAAGGAACAAAAGATATTTTCCACTCCCTGATATTTGGAGTTTCAGACTTTTTAGACTTGCAGTTCTTTCTGGGAAAAGCTAAAACCAGTTTTTAAAGACAAATCAGGAGAATTAGAAGCCCAGTATTCACATGAAACCATATAAACCTCTAAAATGGATTAAGACTTAATATAAATCCATAACGCTCATTAGGATTGAGACCAAAAAAAACCGTAACACAGTAAGTCATGGTTCATGCTTGGTGAACAGTAAACAGATATAATTTATACACAGTTAACATAGAGTGGACAGGGGAGATAGGTGATTCCTTTTTAAAGAATAAAAGGTTAGGGAGAGGGATGTGGGCCAGACATATGACTTAGGTGAGTCGGGTTAATGGAAGTAGGAGCATGGTGAGTAGGTAAAGTGTCCAAGGTGACAAAGGAAAATATTTTTGTATTTGTAAAGATCTGTAGATACAGAGATCTTGCAATTTCTACTGTAGGCCATTCTAGCACCAAAATTATGACCATATTACTTGGGTTGGAGCCCTAATACTCATTTTCTAGAAGCCTAGCATCCATAACAAAGCTTCCTACAAATTATAAGTAAGTCAGTTTATTACATTCTTCATGTTCCTAAATCTTTTACTGAAATTTTTATTTTCCAAAATGGAAATGACTTGTTAATTCAGTTTATGAAAGTAATGTGTTTAATATGGTTCACACAAGACAAAATCATAAAGCACAATGTGAAGGAAATTCCTTGAAATTTGGTCCCTTAGAGATAATTATATAGGTTGGTGAATGTATTTGTAGAAATCTTTCTATATGTATATTTATGTATAGGTTAAGCAGCCGGACAGTGCTGACCAGGTTTTTTTCGCCTCTCAATATAATGTAGGTATCTTTCCATATTAATCTGCTTCATTTTTTCCACTGGTAGCATCAAATTCCATTACATGGATTGCCATATTTAATCAATCCTCAGTTGATGGACACTTGAGTTATTTGAGTTTTCATTGTTATAAACATGTTGCTGGGTGTGGGGATGTTTTAGGGTGTTGGAATTATTCTGTGTCCTGTGGTGTGGTTACAAAAAATACATATGTGTGTATAAAAAAACCCTCAGAATTGTATACTAAAAAAAAGAAGAAGAAAGTTTACTGTATTAAAATGTTTTAAAAACCAAATTATTGAAATTAAAACCATGTTGCTGAGACAGACTACATGGAAATTTTAACATATTCCAAGTTGCCTTTCAAAAAGTTTGAACAGTTGGGAGGGTATAGCTCAGTGGTACAGTATGTGCTTAGCGTGCATGAGGTCTTAGGTTCAATCCCCAGTAGCTCCATTTGAGTGAATGAATGAATGAAGCTAATTACCCCCCCCAAAAAAAGTCATTAAAATTTGAACACAAGGGTCTATTTTCCCTTATTAGCCAGTGCTGAATAGTGTGTTAAAATTTTGCTAGTCTAATAGGTATGAAATATTATTTTAACTGGCTTTTTAAAAATTATTACAGCCATCCTTTTATATGGTTATTGGTCATTTATATTTGTGTCCTTTGCTTCCTTTTAAGCCTTTCCCTATTATATTTTGCAAATATTTTTTATCCATTTGGAGTGTTTCTTTTAATTTTGAGTATACTGTTTTGAATCTTTTAAAGCACTAAAAAATTTTTTGTGTGTGATGGTTCTATTCATCATTATGGCTTCTGGCCTTGATGTCATGCTAAGTAAATCCTTCCACCCTTTGAGATTATAAAAAGAATTCTCCAGTATCATATTCTAGTTATTTTATGGATTTGGTTTTCACATGTAAAAACTTTATTCCATCTATAATAGTTTCCTAGGGCTGCCATTACAAATTACCACAAACTTGGTGGCTTAAAATAACAGAAATTTATTCTCTCACAGTTCTGAAGGCCAGAAGTCCAAAATCAAGGTGTCAGCAGGGCTGCACTCCTCCAGATGCTCTAGGGGAGATTCCGTTCCTTGCCTCTTCCAGTTTCTGGTGTCTCCAGGTGTTCTTGGCTTATGGCTGCATCGCTCCAGTCTCACATTGCTGCCTCTTCTTCTGCCTCTCTTCTGTGTTGTCTCTTATTAGGACATTTGTCATTGTTTTTAGGGCCTACCCAGATAATCCAGGATGAAGTCATCTTAAGATCCTTAATTATTATATCTATAAAGACTCATTTTCCAAATAAGTCACATTCATGGATTTCAGAGATGAGGACATGAACATATCTGTTTGAGAGTCACCATTCAACCCACTGCTTCATTTGAAATTGAAATTTTTGTGTGACAAGGGTAGAGAACTATATTAGTTTTCTAAAAAATTATCACAAAATTCAGCGGTTTAAAACAAACATTTATTATCTGTGAATCAGGAATCCAGGAATGACTTAGCTGGGTTCTCTGCCTTAGGGTCTCTCACAAGGCTGCAGCTGAGGTGGTGGCCAGGGCAGGGGTTGCATATAAAGGTTCAGATGAGGAAGGATCTACTTCTGAGTTCACGTGGTGGTTGGTAGAATTCAGTTCCTCAAGTGCTGTTGGACTGCTCTTGCTAGCCTGCCCTTAGCTAGAGGCCATCCTCAATTCCTTGTTACTTGGGCTTCTCCAACACAGCAGCTTTGTTTTATGAAAGCTTGCAAGATGAGAAGGTTCTAGAGAGCCTGCTGGTAAGACAGAAGTCACAGTCTTCTATAACTTTCTCATGGTAGTGACATTTTGTCCCTTTTGTCACATTCTGTTGGTTAGAAGCAAGTCACTAGGCCAGTCCACACTTAAGGGTTGGGCTCAACTACACGGGAGTGGGAATTCAGGAAGTAAGGATCATAGATGATCATTTTAGGAATCTGCCTAACAAGGAGCTACATTTTTTCTTTCTAACTGGTGAGCTACCAGTTCAAGTACCACCACCTAATTAACTAATTCAGCTGTTTCCCATGGAACTGAAATGCCACCTTTGTCATATATTAAACCTTATATATACTTGCATCTCTGTGAATACTCCTCTATGTCATGTATCTTTTCTGTTAGTTTCCATACTAATACCTTATTGTTTTACTTACTGATATCTAGTGCAGGTTCCATTCCATTAATTCTCCCCCTCCTCTCCTTAAAATAATTTTTGGCGATTTGTATACATTTATGGATTTTAGAATAAATGTTTCTAGTTTCAGAAAATAATTCAATTGGTATTTGATTGAAATTATATTAAATATATAGATTAAGTGTAGGAGAAATATCTGTACAGTATTGAATCATCTCATCTACTTGTAATCTTTCATGATATTCAGGAAAGTTCTATAGTTTTCTTCATGTAAAATTTCTTGCAAATTTTATTCTCTATGCACATTAATTTTGTTATGAAAGGAATCTTATTTTTGTTATTGATACTTTGTTTTAGAGGATATTGATTTTTATATATTTATCTTGTATATAGCCACATAACTGAATTTTCACACTCATTTTATTATATTACTATTATTATACACTTAGACAAGTAAGTATAATTCTGGTATTCCTTTCCAACATTATTCATCAAATCCTTTTTATCTTACTGGATGGGCTCCAGAACAATGTTCTTCCCAATTTTAATTTGGATGAGTATTCTTCATTACTGGACAAGACCAATAACTGTAAAATGACCTAAAAAGGCTGTCAAAGATTTATTTCCACAAAAGCACCAGGCTCAGATGGTTGTACTACCTGTTTCCAAGAAACCATTATGTAAGTTGATTGCTGATGGTTTCTGATAAAAATTTAGTAAGCTAGAACTAAGAATTTATCAGAATATAGTCAATTAAGAAATCAAATAACTGTTTAGAATCTTTTGAGATGATCATATAATTTTCTTTTCCCCTTTTAACCTGCAACTATAATGAGTTGAACCACCATCTGGAATTTCTGGAATAGTTATTGGGTAACTAGGATTGTTCTGTTACTATTTAGTTTAATACAAATTTTTGCAACTATATTTACTTAAAATTCATGATCCCTTGTTTTGTCATATTTGGGTTATCAAGACTGTGCCAGCCATGAAATAAATGGGAAACTTTCTGGCTTTTTTGGTGTTTCATAGTGATTTAATAATAGGAATTATCTGTTCCTTAATTTCCCCCTAAAATAAGCTCCCTCCCTCACCCCACCAAGTTATTATCTCATTTTCCTTTCTTAGTAGAAAGTAGCACTTACTTTTACTACAACTATTTTATTTATAAGTTTAATTGGTAACTTATGTTGGTTGTCCTGCTTCATGAAAATCAGGGACCTCTTCTGTCTTGTTCATCAGTGTGTCCCTAGCATCTAGAACACCATCTGGTATAAAGGCATTCAGCAAATATTTGTTGAATTGGTAAAAGTCTAAAGCTGAGCAGAGTCAGAGATACACTTAGATGTTAAATAATATTGATCTACTTGAGAATGGGTATTGATATTATCATAGTTATTAAAAATGTCCTGGGATTAACCAGCTTCATTGCTTAATTCATGCTGGACTTTTTCCCTTTTTTGCAGGTGATCAGAGGATTGCTAAAATTTTGGCCAAAAACATGCAGTCAGAAAGAGGTGGGTTTTGTTTAACAAAAAGTTCATTTTATTGGAACTTTCTGAATCTCAGGTCGGTAAACCATGCCCCTAGGGACCGGGTGTATTGTTAACTGCTACCAAGTGGGAGATATTCCATGGGGATTAGAGACTTGGTAGAACAGCTGTACATTATAGTAAATTGCATATACCATCAAGATTTTTTTGTCCACTGTTTAATTTGTAGATTATAGTCTCATAATCTCACAGATTCTCATTTGTGTTTCCTATATTAACATCATATAATTTGTCATATTATGTTTCTTAAAAGAAAATTCTTTTAACCTAGGTGATGTTTTTAGGAGAAATTGAAGAAATCTTAGATGTCATTGAACCAACACAATTCAAAAAAATTGAAGAGCCCCTTTTTAAGCAAATATCCAAGTGTGTATCCAGTTCTCATTTTCAGGTATGATGATTTCAGTAAAGCCATTTTTATTTTATACTATTCTTTTCTTTTAGTTTTCACATTTCTAAATGTCTTTTTTAGGTTGCAGAAAGGGCATTGTACTTCTGGAATAATGAATATATTCTTAGTTTGATTGAGGAGAATATTGATAAAATTCTGCCAATTATGTTTGGCAGTTTGTATAAAATCTCCAAAGAACACTGGAATCCGTAAGTGTCTTTTTTGTTGTTTGTGTTATTCTTGGGTGTTTAACCTTTTTGTCATTTGATCTCATAACTCATACAAATATTAGTTTCATTCTGTTATTCTGCACCTGATATACAGAGCTTTACGAAGTTGTAAATGTATGTGTCTGTATGTTCTTAATTTCAACTAGAATTGCAAATCTAGGGACTCTGTGTGACATCCTGCAGCGGTGTATGGTTAAACCCTGTTGGGGAGACCAACCCAACATCTGCAGGGCATGCACAGACAGCTTTGTGCTGCCAGTATCCAGTCTCCCCTCCACAGAAGGCCAGCCCCAGGGAGAGACTGCAGTGCTTAAGATCGTAGCAGTGATGCTGACTGCATCCGTTTTCTGTAAATTCTGTAACATCCTGTTTTCTTCTAAGTTATGATAATTGAATCTTTTTCAACTTCTTCTAATGCTCTTACTTGGGGTTTGTAACGGTAGACTCTAGAGCGGGCATGAAGCTAACCACATTTTTAGGATTTAATCTAAGCATGATACAGTGGAAAAGATTTGAGTTTTGAAACCATACCATCTCTACCACCACTGGCTGTGACCTTGAGCAAATTACTAAACCTCCTGAACTTCAGTTTATCATCTCTAAAATGGATTAAGTGAGTCAGCCAGCATGTAGCTCGTTTCGGAGACGACAGTGTTACGTTTCCTGTCTGTTGTTAGCATCAGTAACACAGCACTGGCTTATTTTGATTTTAGGACCATTGTAGCACTGGTATACAATGTGCTGAAAACCCTCATGGAGATGAATGGCAAGCTTTTCGATGACCTTACTAGCTCATACAAAGCTGAGAGACAAAGGTATTTGACATTTTAAATTACAAAGTTACTTGTACATTTTAGATTAGTTGAAGGTGAGTCAGTCTAATAAGGTATCTTCTCTAAGTTAAAATAATGTTTAAGAAGTCAGTTACTTTAAGCATAGAATTTGAATGTCTCTGGTAAATACTTTCAAGTCATTTCTAGATAAGTTTCTCCTAGTGGTTAGATTATGATCTTAGACTGCAGCAGCCTGGTAGCATCTGCATTGTGAAATATAATTTATGCTGAATTTTAAATCCTACTTTACACAATTTTATTTCGTTTACATTTATGAGAATCGTTTCTGGCCACATGGGTTTCCATAGTGAGCTTATTCTCCAACTGTTCCTTGCACAATAATTTGATAGTTTTTAAACTGTACATTTTAGTATAGCTCCCTTTTCAGAAGAGGAAACTCACATAATGATATGTCTGTGGGCTTAGTGTTATTGATATTTTGTTCCTTGCAATAACGGATATTTATAATCTTCTAAAAATCACTTTCCTCTCACACATTTATTTCAAACTTAAGGTGGGCAGTAACTGTTGTATCTGATCCCTTTTACTTCTCATAAGTGTACTACCTATTCTGTTTGGAAAAGCTGATCTATTTTGACTAGAAGTTCCTAGCCCTGGTTTTCTAGTGGCAAGTATAGAAAGGATAGGTCTTCTCCAAGGCCAGCCTGGTCCGTTAAAAACTAACTCAATGCGTTATTTCTTTTAAACACCTTTCAGGCAGGAATAGAAATTAGGTACATAGTTTGAGCCCCAGGAAGCACTGGGAAGAAGGAAAAGATGACTAGGATCCTATATGTTACTTACATTTGAAAAATGCTTCTTTCATGGGACTCAGAATAATCATATCTTACCACTTTTGTGCCCTTAAGGCATACATAACTGCACAATGGTAGGCCCATTGGTTCTTTTCCCATGTTCATGTAGCCCTTCAGAATAGTTTAGTCCAAGTTATTCAGAAATGTTTTCCATAGAACTGAAATTAAGTATGTGAAACAACATATTTTAAGTTTTGTTTTTTAGAGATTATTCAAACTTGAAAGTTATCATTTGACATGTAAGAGACGAGATAGACACACTGGTTAGTAGCTAGGGATGTGGTGCTTCCACCTGGAAATGGGTCCAGACTGACCTGGGGGCCAGCCCTTCCGTCTGTCTGCAGAAGGGTGATCACGACCACTACAGCCACTGCAAGGGGTTTACATGAGAAAGTTAATGTGAAAGTACTCTGTCAGCCATACAGCACCAGTGGTACAGTAGTGGTGATAATACGTAGGAGAGAGAAGGCAAGTAGTAACTTGCAGTGGGTACAGGAGATGCGTGGACATAGGAGAGTGTCAGGGAGTAATTAGGTGCTCTAGGTAATTGACCTCAAATGCTTTAGTAGAGGGATTTAAGTGAAATGTGAGTGAGCAGTGTATTCTCCAGCAAACTGCCAAACAGCATGTTTCTTCAAGCTCTGAAATAAAAATTTCTAATTACAAGATGTTTGATTTACAGAGAGAAAAAGAAGGAATTGGAACGTGAAGAATTATGGAAAAAATTAGAGGAGCTAAAGCTAAAGAAAGCTCTAGAAAAGCAGAACAGTGCTTACAACATGCACAGTATTCTCAGCAATACAAATGATGAATAAAAAAAGCCTGCCACTTCTGCTGGATAGGTGGCTTTGTACACTTTCTTGAAATATGTAAAAATTATGAAACAAACCTCATCAGTATAATATAAAAGGCCAATTTTTTTCTGGCAACTGTAAATGAAAAAAATATATGGACTAAACATAGCCCTGTGCTATATCGTGGCCACAGTATATTGTAGCTTTTGTCTAATCATTGATTTGTGTCACTTCTAAAGTTTCACAGAAATGAATTGAACTTTATCATCTGATACTGAGTGAAATAATTATGGGAGTGGTAAGAATTATGACTTGAATTCTTGTTTTGATTGTGTTGCACATAGATATAGTAATCTGCTCTGTATATTTCCCCTTTTATAATGTGCTTTTCACATTGCTGCAGACCTTAGTTACATCCTAGGGAAAAGACTGTTTCCTAAAAATAAAACTAAGGTGTAATTCTTACCCTTCCCTTCACCTCTCCCAGACGTATGATGGAGGGAATTACCTGCCCTAAGCCTTCCTTCATTAGAGATACTACTCTACTCTGGAATTTGAGCAAAAACTTAAATCTCCAGGCTTTTTAAAGCACAAATTACAAGTAAAAGCTGGGAAAGTAAACCAGATTCTTTAGATTGACCCTCATGAATATCCACCTGCAACTCCCCAGAGTGATGAGCACAGATGAGTGGAGGCAGTGCAGTGAACACTTGGCCTCTCAGTTCATTCCTCCTCTTCCTCCCAAAGGCTGAAGGCAGGGCCTTTCCAGTCCTCACAGAGCACGCTGCCCTCTCCAGTCCCTCCTGACGCAGGGATGCAGGCAGGCGTCGAGACCCACAGCGTGGTGATGCGGAGCGCTCCTTGTCACTGCCTGGCTTTATTTAAAGGAAGTGCAGTAGGCTTCTTCTGTAGGGCTCTGAAAAAGCTGCCTATAGAGAGGCCGTGTATGTTTTCACTTGGTGAGGTATTTCTCACATTTTGTTATCAGAGTACCATTCCAGTCTCTTACCTTGCAGTTGTGTGGAGAACTGTTTTGTAATGAAAGCTCTTCATTAGGGATTGAGCAGCATTTAATAAAGTCTATGTTTGTATTTTGCCTTATGTTTTTGCTTTTTTTCAGCACTAAGTTTAGGCATCCAGAAGAAGCCTGCCCCCTTTGTTCATACGTACGTACATACATGTATATACAGAAAGGTTTAAATAGAATATATTCCACAATTTGCCTTAACGAAAAGGAAGATTGTGTGCCCGAGTGTTCCAGCTGTTTACCGAAGTCTATTTTATAGAATAGTCACATAAAATTCTAAGTTCTAGGATATGCTCCCATCTTCCTTCATGTCCCTTTATTATGTTCAGAGGGTGGGTTTAACTTACCTTAAATGTATGTACGTAGGTACATAGTTTTAATTAAATAGACCCAGGAGGATAAATCTCAAAAATCTGTAATAGCACGTTTTTGTGGGGGCAGGGAGACTGTGGCAGAGTTCAGAGTTGTTATACAGCTTTCAGTACTGAGGTCTGCTTCTACTCTTTCATACTCATGAAAAACTCCTCTAGCTTGGCTTCTACGCACTATTCTGAGGTCACTGTAAGAGCAACTCCTTCCGCTCACTGTGGCCTCAGGAGAGACTCTCTTACAGTGCCTGGCTCACATTTTACACCATTTGCAAGTGGCCGCCTTACCTCGGCCATCCCCATGAAGTGTTCTTGCCAGATCTCCACAGCAGCCCCAGGCCGGCTGGGATTACTGACAGCTGGGGGCAGCGCACGTAGACGACAAGGGCGATCCAAACACAGAAAAGGCAAGCCCTGGCCTCCCCAGCAGTGAAGGTTGGGTCTAAATGTCTATTTTGTGGAAGTTTTAGGCATATATTTATTTCATTGAAGAGCAGCCAGAGTGCATCTGGGCAGGCTGAAGCTAACAGTTGTGAAAGATGTTTTCTCTGAAGAACTAGAAATGCTCACTTCCTAATTAGCTACTTACGCTAAAGCACATTCAAGAGGTCTTTCAACTTTCTACAGTACAGGAAGTAGTTTTAGTATGTTCACTGGAGTAAATTTTATTAGATATTTAATATTAAAGTGGTATGTCATCTTTCGAGATGCTTTAAAAACACACATACTTGTTTCTCAATACTGTTAATGTAAACTTTTATGCCTGGCTTCGCATTTGCCTTACAAGAAGATTTTACAGAGATAAGACTTAGGCTTAAGTTTGAATCTGCATGCTTCTGTGGCATAGAAAATAGCAGGGAATAGCTCCTTACACAAGTTCACTTTTAGTAATTCAACTGAAAAAAATAGTTTCTTGTTGCTAAATTAGACATGAGAGTAAAAATGCCCCACTCATACCATTTGAGTTTTTCTCTCTGAATTATCTAAAGTCAGGTTCCAAAATTCAAGAAATGCTACCAAGTCCTCTTTGGATGCAAAGGGCAAATAAATAATTTAAAACTCTGGAAATAATTTTCATAACCTTAAATCAGCCAGTGGCTACCATGTGAAAAATACCCAGATGGTACTCATCTGGGCCATAGGCTAGGCTGGAAGCTCTCAAGGTCTTACTGGGTGCCCCTTTCTCAGATGGATGGGTTGGCAGGACAACAAAGCTCATTCTTGGGGCTTCATCGTCGCTTCCTGACCACCTGCCACCCATCGCCTGCCCACCCTGCCCTCCCTGGAACGTAGTCATGACATACCTCAGGAGTCCAGGCCCGTCCATCTTGGGTGTCCAGGCTCACACTCCCTTTTATTTGGAGGTTCCAGAGTGAAAGCATACTGGTGCCTACTGAGCAGATATGCACACTGATTCCTTTTGTATGAATCTAACTTTTATTTACCTGTTAAATGAAATAGTCAAAATACACTGAGTAGGCACCTACTATGTACATACATCCTAGGGCTTTTGCATGCTAATCACCCCACACTCATACCTGTATCAACACATATTCTAGCCAGACATGCAGGCGGCTAGTCAGTCTACGAGAAACCTAATTAACTAGGTTTAAAAAAAAAGTCCCATTTCATATTTAATGAACAAAAGAGCATGTCAGAGGCTAGCAGATGGCACCGGAGACACGAGGGGCTTGCCTTCCTTGTGCACAGTGCACCCGTTTCACAGCGTTACCTCCACGTCTGGAGCGTCAGCACGGGGCAGGGCAGGGGGTGAAAATCACATTCTCTTCTGTCCATTTTAAAAACCTCAAGAGAAAAACCTAAGGTGAGGGTCTTAATTATCCTGTTAGACCTTAACTATACACCAAACCAAGGAAGAAGAAAGGCATCTTCCACAAACCTTCAGAAGACTTGATGTATATCTAATTCCATCTTCCACAAACCCTATTCATGTCATATGTCTTAAAACGTTCATTAATAATTTAAATACTTAAATAACGTTTAGGTTATCCATTGGATCTGTTCCAACAGTCTCTTTTGGGGCCAGGTTAGAAGCTGCAATGTCACAGGCCAGTCTCCCAGCAAGGCCCATTTCTTCAAGTAGAGGACAGGATTGCTGGCAGCCGGGTTTACCAAAATGGAAGCGATGAGAACTTCCATTAATTCAGACAGTTTGATGAACAACACAGCCGACTTCAGCTTATGTGGTTTGTTGCCTGACCTCTTTTTTTAAGGTATCTCTTCCTAATCTTGATCATCCATTTCACACTCAGTTTGGCAAACTCTGCGGCTTTAAATAACGCCAAGAAAGCTCCACAGAGAAGAGCGATTGTGTTCCAAGGATTGGCGGTGATGATCTGTAAAACAGAAACAAACACAACTTTACCAGTTGGCTTCAATTTTGATTCCTAGCGTTATTATCAGAGCCCTCCCCCGACACACAAAAATATTATTGCGGGTGACAAGAAAAACAACTGGGTACTAAAACAGCCATAACTCTATACTTTGTCCATAGCTCAGTTTGAGGAGAAAAATCTAATCCCTCCCTAGAATAAAGTGATCCTGAAAGAAGAAAATTATTTTTTCCAAAAAGCTCTGCACAAACAAGATATTCAGTAGTGAGCTTTAAATTTTTGGCCTCATCCACAAGATGACCTTGCTTTGAGACAAATTTCCCCCCAACTATACACCCAGTCCACATGGTCTGTTCCTCCTGTTTTCTTCCCATCTCAGTTACTCATACCTCCCTCCCATCTGGCCCAGTGACTCACCTCGTGGACTCCCGCCTCCAGGCTAGCCCCTCTGATTTCCACTGCCTGTGACACTTTCCTCCCACCTAGAGTTCCCAACCCGTCTAGGCCCCTCACCTTTCTCTGACCACTAAGCCAAAACCCTCTCGACTTCAGCAGAGATTTATCCTACAAACTCCTTTGGCAGTTCCTCGGAGTCTTAGGTGATACTCACGTCTTGAACCTTCTGGATAAAAGGGTCTTTCCATTCAAAGACCACAAAGAACAACTGAGCACTTTTTTCAGCTGCTGGCCTCTGGTCAATGTAGTTAACCACGCTGGTCTAGGCACAGAGGAGAGAAAGCAGTGTTACCACTTCTGGGTCCTTCCCTGACCTGGGCCATGGGGAAAGAGGGGGCAGTTAGGGGATCTGAGACCCTGGCTCTCCTCACACCACTTTTTGGAGGAAGAGAGCCAAAAATCTCTACAGAACATCCTGAGACTGGTCCCAGGGCCAAGGCCTTACCATGGTTTCCATGGCTCTTTGAGGAAATGGATGTGACCTGGTGTGTACTACAGGTGTTTTGGATTGTCACCGAAATCTGCCATGATTAAACCATTTCAGAGTACTGTGTACGACTCACAGATAAAAGCCATAAAAACCCCAAATTTGAAAATTCTTGACCTGAATTACTGAGTATGTCAGCCCTTCCAGTCTGCAAGGACAAAGCACAGCCTCACAGATCTGCCCAGCGCAGCACTCCCTGTAAACAGCAGGCGTGCTTGGTGAGACCTGTTACTGGTTACTACAGAGGCTGCGAGTAGACGGGTTCCAGAGGCGGGGCTGGGCCGTCACCTGGTCTGAGCCTCCACTTTGCACTCATAAAACGGGACAAAACGCCCACCTCACTGAGCTGCTGTGAAGCTCCAATGAAACAACACATAGGAAAGAATTTTAAACTTCAAATAAAACACAATATAGAAGCATTTAAAATTTTGTTCAGAAATTTTCACATCCCCCACCAAAAGACTCCCAATGTGGACAGTGATGAAAGGCACACAGAACATTCTGCAGGATACAGGCTCCTGGAGGTGTGGCCCCCCGGTCTCAGATCACGGCTGGAGTGACCAGGAAAGCCTGGGGGTACTGGGGAGACCTGCCTGTATGGTGCACGCATCGAGTCTCCTTCCTCAGCTGATCTGGGGACCAGATGAGAAAGAACCTGGGAGTTTTCGGAGAAGAGTGTGGAGTAAAAATCCAGGAGAAGACAGTTATTTTACAAAATAGGAATATTTTAAGAATCTATTGCCGGGGGATTGTCACTGCCTAATGCAAGAAAAGAGTCTGCCTCCTTGAAGAAGAGTGGCTTCAAGCCTTTCCCGAAGGCCTCCAATCTGGAATGGTCAGGAGCCATGGTGCGGGAAGGGGTACACCTGGAAGAGAGCATGGCTTCCGGCAGACGATGGCACCGCCGGATGGAGTGAATCCTTCTACTCAGTCCCTTCCTAATACTGCCTCTCAGAGTCCAGCCCAAACGGAACACCTCGAAGGAGGAGCAGAGGCTGCAAGAACAGAGCTGTGTCCTCGCCACCTCTGCAGGCTCCCAGCCACCAACCCACAGGGATGGTCTGGCTCTGGGTGTGGATGCGGGCAAGAAGGCAGAGCCACTGCCCCACAGGCAGGGGTGCGGCCTGGCTTTTGGTGGTGAATGACCGTGAGCCCTGCTGAGGCCACAAAATGTCCTATCCCTCCATCCCCACCGCCATGCCTTTTCGCAAGGTCTCGTCCATCTCTTGCCGGGATCACAGCTAGAAACTCCCAGCGTGTCTCCTAGCTCCAGACCACTGGGCTGAAAGCTTTCTAATCGCACTTCCCCACCAATAAAAAATTTTGAGCATGCGCCCAACACGTAACTGTCTTGCAAGTGATGCAACTTACTATTACTGTTCTAATGTTACATGCATTTTAAAAATAGTAAAAGAATGAAATTTAAAAAATTGATCAAAAGAAAACTATTTTCTTCTTACATCCCAATGGATCACCACACACCCAGCACTTACAGGCTACTGTATCTAGTCTCTTCCCTGTAAATAATCAAATTTCTATGTAGCCACCAGCCTCTCAGGGCACCAGGGGTGCAGAGGTAAGAACCCAGGCTCTGGTGTCAGACACAGCAGGTCAAGGTACCCACTCTATGAAACGCTCCACCTGTGTGCTCTGTGAGGGCTGCTGTGATGGAGGCAAAGGGCACTGCCCAGAGAAGAACCCTTGACTCCGTGGCAGGGATTCCCCTTTCATCTTGGTGAAGGTCGACCCGCCCTGAAGACCCTGTGCAAGGTCACCCCCTCTGTGAGCTTCCCTGCAGCTGGACTCAGGGTGGAGTCAGTGGCAGAGGGAAGGGAGCCCAGCACCACCTACCTCCTGCCGGAACTCCACCGCCTCCCGCCCATCCTCCTCCTTGGTCTTCACCAGGGACATCTTGACCCAGGTGCGAAAGCCCCCCGAGAACTTCCAGCTGGAATAGGCACTCTCGCAGGCCTGCATGAAGCCTACCCTGTCTGGGCTTGGAGGACAGAGAAGAAAGGTCCAAAATAATCAGGCAAGATTTGAACATGCCAGACTCAAACTCCAGCCCCTACTTCAAGCCAGTTTCTCTGCTGGTACCACCAGGATGCTGCCCACTCCCCACGTCCTCAGTTCTGCCTTTTGGCTTCCAAATGGAGAGGGAGCTGCTGGAGAGGAAGCTGTCACTTAAGGCAGGAGCATGGGGAGAAGCCCTCCTCCCTCCCACCCTGTCCTCCCCACCCCCTGCTCCCAGAGAAGCCGGCACTCAGGTCTGCAGATGTGCCCACAGTACGGTGCCCCACCCCACCCCAAATCCTCAGAGAACTCCAGCCTTCAGTGGCCCAAGGTGCCCTCACTGCCCTCTGGAAGGCCCGGGGAGGGGAAGAGCATTCCTCGAGGAGCTCTCAGCCAGACAGGACACCCACAGCATCTGCCCAGGATGGTGCAGATGCAGCAAGAGCAGAGTGCACAAGGGTAGGTGGAAACGGCAGCGTGGTGCTGAAGCAGCTCAGGAGAGCGGCCCAGACAGGGCTCGGCAGGGAGGCCACACGGCCAGCTCCATGCAGGGACGGGACAGTGAGTTCCAAGTGGCAAAAAAGCCAGAAGATACCAAGGCAGAGGCCCCGAGCTCCAGAATGGGAAGGATGGGGCAGTGGGGTGTAAACAGTGGAGACAGCTCATGGCCTTGTCAGCTGGGGGAACAGCCTCCCCTCCGCTGGGGCTGCCGGCCTACTTCCTTGAAATGGAGCCCCAGGGCCTTACGGGACCTGGAAGGACTGAGTGAGTCACCCTCAGCTCAGCATGTGCAGAAAATGCTCCTACCCCCCACAAGCACCCTGGGCCCCCGGGATGGCACCACCGGGACAGGAACTGTCATCCTCCTTTTAGAAACATGTGGCAAACTTGCACTGAGCCTTCACTCAGGGCTGGACCCAGTTCCCTGCCACCGCGGGGGACATGGCCTGGGAAAGAACTGCTCTCAAGGGGCTCACAAAACCCAGGCGGCCTCCTCCTGTCTTCAGCAGCCCCAGTAGGGAGCAGTGGCCCAGACCAAGCCTCCCTCCAGGAAACAGCTAACTGGGCGTGTGCAGTCAGAACACCCCACACCAGGCCTGACTTTGTGAAGAGGCCCTCCTGGCTGGTCTTTTTCGGGGCCAGTGGGTCATCTGCAGTCTCGCCTCCCCAACCCTCACCCCAGCCCAGGGACATGCACAGCTGGAGTAAGATAAGTGTCTAGCAAGCCCGCCCTGAGCTCTGAAAGGCCACCTTTGCAGGAACTCCTGGAAGGACGAGAAGAGGAGGTAATCGATGGCACTGAAGTCCTCGCGGCTCTGGTTCAGGCGAAACTGGAGGAAGACCAGCTCCCGCTTCTTCACTTCCCGGGGCCCCTGCACAATCAGGGCAGATTTCTGCAGAGGCAAAGGCCACAGCCAGCCTGGAGGGCTGTGTGGAGACTCTGAGCCCCAGGCGCACAGAGACTTCAGAGTCTGCGCACTGACTGGGAAGCCCATCCTCCTCAGCCCCCTGGGAGCAGCGCCTGGACCAGGGCTGGGCGCAACCATCCTCATCAGCTTGCCTCACTGACTGGCTGTGCCGCCGAAGCTCTTTATTTAGAAAGGACAAAAACAAGTGTTTTTCTCCCCAGTCTGTCACTTTTCTGTTAACTGTTTCTAATGTCATTTGTTCTATGAAGCTCGAAATGTGATGTACTAAAATTTGCAGATCTTCTTTAGGTTTCTAGGTTTTGCTTGCTAAGCAATTCCAAAATTACATCAATATTTTCCTGTATTTCTTCATAGAACTTTTTTTAACCTGTTTACATTTAGATACACAGTATGTCTGCCTTTCAGGTTTGTACACATGGTGTGAAACAGCGATCTAACTCCCACAGCAGATGGAGGGTTGACCCCTGAGCAAACGTTTACTTGTTCTTGACTGAGCAGTCAGTGCCTCCCATCCCCAAGCCTGGCAGGGTTATTTTGTGCACATGCTCTTCTAAATGTACTTTAAAACTAGCTTAAGTTTCGTGAAAAAATCAACTGGGACTTTTAACTGTGATGATACTGAATTTATAGATTAACTGGGGAAAAATACCTTTACTTTTACAAGTGCTCCACAGATATTCAAAAAGAGTTTGCACTGTCTTACAACATGAACTGACTCAATTTATTAACTGCGCAATTCAACTCTCCACTCTTATCCTTACTATACTTTGTCCGTTTGATCTGCGAATTTCTGGAGAGAGGTGTTAGTCACACTCTAAGGTGCTGGTATTTACTTCTAACAGGTTTTGCCTCAGGTATACAAAGGACGTGCTGTTTTGCACATGAAGATTTATGCCTGTTAAATCTTAGTGGACAGAAGTGGAGTTTGACCCTCTTATCAATATAGACACCCCTCCTTGAACTCCCTGTACCTGGGATTTCATTTTAACTGCTCTAACACTGCCACTCCACTCCTAGTTATTAGTGCATTTTCCCAAGAGATCTTCGTCTCTTTATTTCTCAATCTTTCCATGACAGGTTAAGTGGCAGGAGAGAAGGCTAACTGTCCCCAGTTTCCATCATCCACTTCCTTCCACAGAACTAGCACCATTTCCCTAATCCCAGATTTTCGCAGAATATAGTTGCCTGCTGGAACCTCATTTCTGGCCTCAGATGTGGCCACGGGATGAAGTTCCCGGAACGGGCACAGAGGTTGACTCACGCAGCTCCGTGCCAGGCCCTTAGAGGGGGACTGCTTGCCCTCCACCCCTCACCTTTCCGGGTGCAGGCAGTGTGCATGCTGGCAGGCCAGCGCTGACCACAAGGACCAAGACAACGCCCGGGGACAGCAGGCTGACCATCCTACAAGGCAGCGGCACTGCCAGCACACCCGGCCGTCCCCAGAGAAAGAAACAGACTTCTTCTGTATCTCAGCCACTGTCTTTGTCCAGAGTGTGTGTCCACTAGCTTAGCCTGCACTCTGACCAACATAAGCTGTTCTCCAGAACTGGAGTGCCGTAGCACCCACCACTGAAACATGAGGCATCGGCCTAACATGTGGACGCTGGGAATATGGCAGGCAGTGAGGGAACAGACGCGGGTCCTGCAGGCTGGAAAGGCAGTGACCCTAACTGCGCCAGAGCAAACAGAGCATTTGGTAAAAGTTAACAAGGTTGAGTCGATGGCACTAGAGAAACTAGAAGATAAATGAGAATCTGAAGATGGACAAAGGAGGACCAGATGAGACCCTCCCTTTCCCCTGGACTCAACAGAAGCCCACGTTTCTGAAGACATCTCACTGCAAATGAAGGGACTGGGGATGGGGGGATGCGGGCTGTTCAGCCCCCCAGTCTATACAGCCGACAGCCACACGGCCCGGGGAGGGTTTTCTAGTGGCCATTGCAGATTCGACCCCGGAGGATCCCCGCCAAGTCAGGCTCTCCCAGCCGAGGCCGGGGGGAACTGAGGACACAGAGTCTCTACCAAGGTGCAGTCCCAACCCCACTCCACCCGCCACCAACCTGGGGCCAAGGCAGGACACCTTGCAGGTCCCACCCGCAGGGTTCATCACAGCCTGGGGCAGTGTGCTTCCCGCTCTTCTCTTTCCCATATGGAGTTCACTGCGCTCCTCTGCTCTGCACTGGTTCAGGGAGGGGACCTGGTGCCCAGGGAGCAGGACACTTCTTAGTTTACAGCCGTGGACTGCAAGGGGCCACCATGGCAGGGAACACTGACCGTCACCCCGGGTTGGAGGAGTAACCTCTTTCAACTTAAGTTTTCATGGAAACAAATCTCCTCCTGTGCCCTTCCTTCATGGGTTTCTCTAATACTTAGCTACATTACATAACTCTGACAGCAAGTACAGCTGGCATGAGCAGGGCTGGGAATAAACACAAGGACTCCTAGGACGGGTACTACTCAACTGGGAGCCAAGAGGAGGGGCGGCCAGAGAGCCTGTGCCCGCGCATCCGGTCAGTACAGAGGGGACGGACAGACCCGGGAATCCAGGGAGATAGCGTTCTACTGTATTTTCCAGCTCTTCATTAAAATGTTTAGAAGTTATTTTCCTTTTCATTTAAGTTAGCTTCCACTTCCCTGGAGTCCATTCTGTGTGTTCCCCTCCGTCCTTTTCTTTTACGTCATTGGTTTCATGTAAATGTCTAGTGGCCCTTAATTCTCCATTCTTATTTCTGAGTGAAGGGCTAGACGGACTAGTACGGGTCTGCAGTGCGGGTTTCTTCATAATTGGTCCTCTGCCAGGCTCACCCTCGTCCCGGGCTCCGAGGCAGCAGGCGGATGCCAGCAGGCCGGGCACCCCCTGCACTGCTCATTCCTTCCTGGTGGTTCTCTCCTCCCGCCGTGGTGGAGGTCCAGTCTCAAGTTCTGCTGTTTTTCTCTGCTGGCCCAAAGCCCAAGCAGGGACTCTCCCTTTCGCTTATGCAGAGAACGGCCTGGGGGCCTTTTCCCCAGAGCAAACACGGTCCCCCCAGCTCTGTGTGCCCTGGGAGGGTGAACGGCACAGCCAGCACGAGATCCTGTAATTATTACCCTGCTCTTTGAACGTGCTGACGCAGAGCTGGGGGCTGGAAGGAAAGCTTTCACTTCAACAGCAGTCCTCTCCTTTTCTCTGATCTTGCTCCACCAATCTGACCCAATTTGCTATTCATGTTTTGGACCAGTTCCTCAAAATTTCTGGTCTACCTATGGTACCCTTTTTTGGTTTACAGGACTAAGACTGATATTTTATCTTACTCTCTTTTTGAAGGAGTGGGAAGGAGCAGGATTTTAGGAGGAAGCTTAGAATAAACAAAAAGTCCTGTATGATTCTCTCATCTTCAGACCCACCAGTAGCTCCCTATCAGCCGGAGGGGCAGGCCCGGCTCCCCAGCACGACATGTGTGCTTTCCTCACTGACCGTTACTTCTGTCCACAGCTCTGCCTCCCACTGCTCATCAGGGACACCTGAGCCTCCAGAAACACCCACCGCTGGAATTCTGCTATGGCACAAACATGCTGTTTCCCCCCTTTATGTCCAGGTGCAGAGTTCCTCTGCCTAGAAACCTTTCCTTCCTCTCTTTGAGTTGGAAAGCTTACTCAGCCCTGTTCAATCCTTCTGGAAACAAGGATATGGGATGAAACGGAGAAGATGTAAATAAATAAAAAATTCCTTCCCTGCCTTTGGAACTCTGTGCAGGTGCCGCTCCCTCACCGTCCACTCCCCGCTGAGCTGAGCCCTGGGGGACAGCAGGGCTGGGGTCCTCGTCCCCAGCACAGCACTCCTTCTTTATGCTGGCAGTTATTTCAAAATATGGATTCCTGGGCCCCATCCCCAGGAATGATGATCCAGCTGGCCCCATGGGGAACCTGCCTGAAATCTGTATTTTCAAAAAGAATCCTGGCAACTTGGTCCAGCAGTCAGGTGTGGGACCCACTTTACTAGGTCACGCCAGCCCCACCCTGGAGCACTTCATCCTTCCATCAAAGAAAGGGATTTTATCACAATGTTGGGAATCCCTGATGGTCACTCAGAGAAGGCTGAGGACCCCTATGCCCTCCCTGAATGCAAGCGAGCCCGCCACAGCCCGCCCCATATGTGCTGGGGGCTGACAGAGCACACAGCCCAGCCCCAGCCCGGGCTGACAAGAGTTACCAGAGTCTGATTGGAGAAAGGGTCCGTGTAGTTGATCCTCTGGGTGGTGCAGTTCAAGTCTCCTGGCTGGCCGGGGCTCCTCAGAGGTGGAATGACCTCGTAATGGTGCTTACAGCTGAGCAGCTGGGCCTGACCGGGGTATAGGGCAATGCCTGGAGGGCAAACCAGGAAAAGTGAATTCAGGAGTCACAGTCCCTGACCACCCCCCGAAAATCACATTATATAGGTTTTTTCACACCCAACAACCACCTAACTACAGAGGAGCAAGAAGAACAGGGTTACAGAGAGGGCGAGCCACACACCCTGCCTGCGAAAGCCCTGCGCTGAGGGAGGAGGCAACTGCCTCCTCAGTAAGCCCTCTCCCGGCTGGGACGCGGCCTCCCCAGCACCCGCCCCAAAACCCGCCCCACTTCAGAACCCTGCTCCACACCCTCCGAGGGGGCCTCCCAGACTGAGCCTGGCAGTGCCAGCTCCCCGGCACCACCACCACCTGTGCTCACCAGGCGCCCTCGGCTGTGCGTGTCCCCGGGTCTCAGTCCGCCTCTCACCTCCCGCTCCAGCTGCGAGCTCCAAGTGCACAATGTGCATCCCCAAAGTCCCTCCCTCTCCCCAGATCAAAGCACCTCGTTCAAGGCTTTACAGATGGTAGCTGTTCTAACCTCAGTGGTGAAAACACGGAGAACAGCATGTGGCTCCGGACACAGGCAGAGTCAGAGAGACCAAGAGACCAGAAATAGAGAGTAAAACCCCTAGACAAAGAGACTGAAGCAGACACACAGAGAAAGGAGACAATCACTAGACAGACAGATGGGCGAGGCCCCAGGACCAGCAGTTATCAAGAAGCCCCAGGCAGAGTGGACTCGAGACTCCAGCTCTGCCCTGTGAGCAGCTGTCCAGAGGGTCCCTCGGGGTCATCCTGCAGGCAGAGCAGGTGACACAAGCTGGGTGGGCAGAGCCTGAGCCCACAGAGTTCATGCCTCCCTGTTCACTCCACACAGAGTTCAGTGCCAGCGCCACTGCCCCGGAGCAGACAGTCTACTCTACAGCAGAGAGGACTCCTCATTCGGGGACTGGACTCCCCGCAGGGACAGGAGAGGCATGTGGCCGAGGAGCCCCTCTCCAGGCAGGGCCCCACCTACTTCTGGATGGCCTGGCCTCCCTGCCACCCTTAACTCCCACTTCTCCTCATCCCTGGCCTCTGGCTCCAGCCAGGCTAGACTCATCCTCTCCAAAGAGGCCTCCACCTCCCCACACCCACCTTTGCTTCTGTGGATCCTCCTTCCGGAGAAATTCTCTTCCTACCTACCAAAGCCCAGCTCAGATCCTGCCTGTGTGCAGTGCTCCTTGCCCACCCAACTTCTGCAGCAACCACTACAGACTCAGCCCGCCTCCCTCTTCAGCACACAACACTGGGCTGGGCACTGAAGGCAGCTCTTGGGATGTGTAACCTACACCTGGACTGCGCTGGGACTCCTCACCCTGCCCGTGGTGCCCGGCATGGCACCAGGAGCACAACAGTGGCTCGGAGTATTTGCAAGCTGATGCCCCAGACCTGGGCCAGGTGCCCATCCAGGGAAGGCTCTACCTGGGGCGTCGTAGCGGTCCACCTCCTTGTATGACACCGACATGACTGGGTGCTTGAGTTTCTCACGGAAGTCTGTGATGGTCTGGTAGACTAGGAAGACGGCCACGGCCATGAGGAGCAGATAAATGAAGATGAGCAGGACTGAGAAGACGTTTTTCAGGCAGGCCTTGCTGAAGCGGATGCTGCTCGAGGCGGACTCGCTGTCCAGGGCTGAACAACAGTGAGTGACACACATGTGACCCAGCAGAGGTGGGCAACTTCCAGGTCCCCTACCTGCTTCACCAAGGAGGTGAGGTCACCTGCACGCCCAGCCTCCCCGCCTCAGTCCCCAGCCCCAAATCATCACACACAGCACCTGTCAACATCCCCATGCATGTGCTCTGCTGGGAAAGAGATCCCGAGCTGAAGACGACTCCTCTCTAGAGGGACAGATAGTTACATTCCAGCAAGGGGGTGCCCCCAGCCAGCCTCCCGGCCTTACCTCCCGATCATTCACTCCCCCAAGCTCCCCAGCTCCAGACGTACTAAAGGACTGTCCCCTAGCGTGCCCTGCTCAGCTCTGGGGCCCCTCACACCTGCCATTCCCCAAGCCTGGCCTGAAACACTTTTCTTCCACAGCTGACTCCTAACTCATCCCTCAGGTTTCACTTTCGAAAGGCACTTTCTCGAGGAAGCCTTCCCTGACCCCGTAACTTGATGTGGGCATTCCCCCCTCAGTGCTCCCAGGGCACCCTGTGTCCCTGGCATCACTCTGCAATGTCACTGTCTACAGGTCTTTTTATCCCCCTAGGTGTGAGCTCCCTGAGGGCAGGGACAGGGCAGGTCTTGTCCATCCTGAGTCTCTGGCCCTTCACGCTGTGCTGGAACAGAGCAGGCACTCTGCATTCACACAATGAATGACTGTGTCCTGCCTGCTCTCAAACCATCCCCAGCCTCCATTCCTCTCTGTTAAGGACTGAATTGTGTCTCCCCTCCCCAAAAGCCATATGCTGAAGCCCCAACCTCCATCCAATGTGACCATACCTGGAGAAAAGGCATTTAAGGAGGTAATTTAGGTTAAACGAGGTCATAAGGGTGGGGCCCTACTCCAATAGACTAGTGTCCTTACCCGAAGCAGGGGAGACCCCAGGGGTGCACACACGCACACACACAGAAAAAGCCCCATAAGGACATACGGAGAAGGTGACCATCTGCAGGCCCAGGAGAGGGGCCTCAAGAGACTCTCAAACTTGCCAACACTTTGACCTGAGACTTCCAGCCTCCAGAAACGAGAAAAACATTTCTGTTGCTTAAGCCACCCAGCCTGCGGTTCTTCGTTGCGATAGTCCGAGCTAACAGAGACACTCTCACAGCGCTCCTGGACCATCTCTGCTGCTCAGCTGGAACTGCAGCTTCCTGCGGAAAAGCCCAGGCTCCTCCACGGCAGCTGAGCACAGGCTGAGGGTGAGGAGGGCTATGAATGTAAGCCCAGAAACGAATTAGCTTGGCCTCTGGCTTCCAACAGTGATGAAGCTGCTTGGTCACGCTGCCCTTTTACAGGTAATGATAAAATTTGGACAAAACATTATTTGAAGGCACTCGGAAATGATCCAAAGCAGGCAGAAACTGAAGAGAGTTTACCCTTGAAAGAAAATAACTACATTTGGTGAGATTTGCCAATCTGCCACTTTTTGCCTGAGGGCACTCAACAGTCTCTAAAAGGCATAGTGCAGGTGACAGTGGCCAGAGCTCAGGGCTGGCAGGGCTGGCAGAAAGTCAGAGGGAAAACCCTGAAAGGGAGGGAGCCACACAGGGGAATAAACCTTCAAATATGCAAATAAAATAAGCTCAAATACTTGGCTGGAGACCCCAGGGAGCTCCAGCAGAACAGTAGCATCTGGAAACTGAAAGAACTGAGCAAAGATTTCAGATGCTAATGCAGGGGACACAGCAGTTCAGAACCTGAGTCTTGCCATTTTAACTACCTGCCAAGACAAAAATTCTTCATGGGATCACAGGAGAATCCAGAACCTCCATAATGTGTCATTGGTAATGTCTAGTGTTCAGTAAAAAAAAAAAACCAAAAAACTAGGCATTCAAAAATACTAGAAAATGCCACCCATACTCAAGGGAAAAAGCAGTATAGACACTAACACCAAAAATTACCCCAATGTTGTAACTAGCAGAAAAGAATTTTACATCACTTAAAGGATAAAAAAGAAACTGTATGGATAGGGGATGAACTGAGGGGAAATAGAGAAATTAAAACTACAAAAAAAGAACCAATGAGAATTCTAGAGCTGAAAAGAAAAATAAATAAAACTAAAAATTCACTGCATAGTCTTAACAGCGAAAGATGGAATGAAAAAAATGTCAGTGTCACAGAAGTTAAACAGAAATTATTCAATCTGAAAAAAAAATTGCAAAGAAAAACTAACAGAGCCTGGGTAACTGTGGGACAGTATGTAGAACTCTAACATGTAACCAGAAAGAGAAAATGGATGACAAAAAAAATATGAAAAAATAATGGCCCAAACTTCCCAAAACTGGAGGATAAAACAATTTATAGATCCAACAAGCTTAATATACACCAAGCAGGATAAATAAGAAAACTAATCCAGGCAAATCACAAATTGCCAATGCAAAGATAAGAGAAAAATCTTGAAAGCAGTCAGAAAAAAAAAAAATCCTATCACATACAGGAAATCGTATTTAACAATAGGTTAACTTTTGATCAGAAATAATGAAGGTCAAATGACAATGGAACATCTTTAAAGTACTGAAAAAATTTTCTAACAACCCCGAATTGTAAAATTCCAACAAAACTAACCATCAAAAATGAAGGGAAAATAAAGATATTTTCAAACACAAAAGCTGAGAGAATTCATCACCAACAGACCTGCACTATAACATATGCTAAAGAAAATTCTGCATTCTAAATGGTAATTCTCAGATGTATAAAAAGGAATAAAGATCACTGGAAATATTAAATAGCTGGGTAAATGTAAAAAGCTATTTATATATTTTTAAAATTTAAGGTGATCTTAAGCAAAAATTATCAACAATATTGTAAAGTTTATAACTTTCAGAAAAGAGGGAACAGAAACAACAGACATGAGACAAATAGAAAACAGTAAAATGGCAGAACCAATGCAACCATATCAATAATTAAATTAAATGCAAATGGACTAAACACTCCAATTAAAGCAGAGACTGTCAGCGTGGATTAACAAGACCCAACCAAATGCTATCTATAAAAGATGCACTTTAAATGCAAAGACACAAGAGCATTTGCTCAAAATTATTTCAATTTCTTTTTTCTAAAAGCACAAAAACAAGAGCAGCAGAGAAATACCAAAGTGTCCTAGGTTGATAGAAGGAAACCATTCATTCTTTACTTCTACAAACGTGCATCTGGCATCAACTCCATGTGCAACACTCTCTGCTGGGTGCTTCGGGGCGATAGCAAGAGAGAACTGGTTTGTGCTACAAGTGCTACAGAATTCAGAATGATGTGAGGATGTAAAATATGAGATTTCCTTTGTTCAGCATGATTAATGAAGAGTGCAGGGATAAGGACTGAGATTACCAAAGGCTTTGTGGAGGAGGTCACATCAGCCCTGTGCCTAAAGCACCAGGAGGATTTTAAGGAAAAAAATAATTCAGTGTTCATTACTCACTTGTTTTGTGAACTGAAAGATCAGATATCTAGCCCAGGGGTAAAGAGTAGGAGCTTTAGACCCAGAAAGATCTGGGTTCCAGCCCCAGCTCTACTACGAACTACTATACAACTAGAAACTTAATGCTCTTAAGGCTCACATTCTTCATGTGAAAAATAATCATTTCAGTTTTCCAGGATTTCTGAGAGAAGTAAATGAGAGATTGTTGCAGAATGCAATGCAGAGGGCCTGCTCAATGAATGACTGTTATTGGAAAAAATGAATGTAGGCTCTACCCCTCCAAAAATGAAGCCCTCAGTGATGAAGATATAGCAAAGATGAAGATTATGGAACTACAATCTCGCAATAATGAATTAGAAAAAATATATATGCTAAAGATAAAAATGGAGGTGGGGCAGAATACAATGTCTTTCACATGGTAGGCACAATGTTTCCATCTCTGTTAAATGAATGAATAACCTAAAGAACAGGTGAACTAAGTCTTGCTGTTAACTATCTTCTCTCAATTTGTCAGAAAATACTAGTGTGTTTCAGGCATATAAAACTATAAGCCAACTGGTGCACCTTATTATTTTTGGCAAAATACTTTAGAAAATTCTTACTTTACATGGGAATACCAATTCCGAGAAGTGTCTGGGGGGTTCCCTCAGGCCATGAAGAACAGGTTCCGAGACAATGGACATTTACTCTACAGCTACAAAAAGTGAGGAACCAGGAAGCCCAAAGGAAATCCCCTGAGCAGCTGCAAGTGAAGCCAAGGTACAAAGCAGCTCTAGTTCTCCAAAAGGAATTAAAGCAATTCACCTGTCAACTTCCTTTGTCCTTGATTCTCCTTTTGCTGCTTCTTACTGTTATTAGGGGCTGTGTCAATGTCCACTCCCTCACAGCTTTGCCATTTGCCCTCCCTCTGTGTTTCTCTCATTACCCTGCTCTGCTTTACTAAGTCCCTCTCTGTGAGTCCTGCACTAAGATCCTCTCCCAGAGAGTGTCCTATACAGGGTGCCCTGTCAGGCACACCACAAGCCAGAATAATATTCAACAGTGAATAGTTGAAAGCGTTCCTACTAAAATCTGGAACAAGACAAGGATACCCACTCTCACCACTTCTATTCAATATAGTATTGGAAATCCTAGCCATAGCAATTAGACAAGAAAAAGAAATAAAAGGGATCCAAATTGGAAGAGAAGAGGAAAAACTGTCATTATATGTGGATGACATGATACTACGTATAGAAAACCCTAAAAGCTCTACACAAAAACTACTAGACCTGATAAAAGTATTCTGCAAGGTAGCAGGATACAAGATTAACATACAGAAATCAGTTCCATTTCCTTACGCTAACAATGAAATATCAGAAAAGGAAAGTAAAGAAACAATCCCTTTCAAAATTGCATCCAAAAAAACCCCAAAACTTAGGAATAAATCTGACCAAAGAAGTGAAAGAAATTATATACAGAGAATTAGAAAACATTAACTAAGAAAATTAAAGATGACTTAAAGAAATGGATAGATATCCCATGTTCTTGGATTAGAAGAATCAATATTGTTAA